TCCAAAACATATAACTCACAAAATCATGATCATTAAATTAAAATATAATTAAATTAAAAAACGCTACTTCAAATATAAGTAAGCACATACATTAAATTAATAAAAATTAGATTACAATCCTAATTACTTTAAACTAAATCATTGCTAATAACATTTTCAAATAATACCATTTTAATTTATTTACTCCTTACGTTTAGAACAATGCATAAAAATAATATCCTCAAATGATTAAAAATACTAACTTACCTAATCTTCTTCAGATCTTCATTACGTCGCTGCAGTACAATGCTAATTTCTAAATCCTAAATCCAGTAGTCAAACTGGAAGTCTATTCACCAAGTAATAAGAAATTAATAAAATTTCACCTATACTCAAACTACTTTCAGCAAACCACGTACCCTTCCTTACACTCCTTTTCGCAAAATGTCCATTTTCACCATATTTCTTGCACCGCCATTTAACTTGTAATATCCTTCCTTTCACACAATCTCAACTTATATTATTATCAGATAAACACATTAAAAATTTACAATTCACTTTACATAGCGCCATGCAATCCGAAAATTAATCAGCACTATTTCACACAACACACAATGAAGCTTTTCCAAATTAACCCTCTTTTCCGATTAAAGAACTGTAATTCGTCCATTAATGTCACGTTTCACACAACACAGAATATAGCTAAATATGAAATTTCCAGATTTCCCCCCTTTTCCGATTAAACAACTGTAATTCGTCCATTAATGTCATATGACATATCTCATAATCTCTCATTTCCCTCACACAAAATAATCCGTAATCGGAACTGAGTGCTTCTCACATTATTACCAAAGTCCTAGGTAGTAACTTTTATCGCCTCCAAAATGTCACCAAACTACCAGTTACCATATTCCAAAGATCAGCCCAGTTTCTTCAATATTATAGCTTTTACTACTGTTTGCTATTAATTGTGAAATTCAATAAGTTGCAATAAATCCATCTTCGTTCGTTGTATGTTATTTCTTAAATCGTGCAATGTTAGTTGAACAATTTTTAAATTTTTTTATATATTTCCTGAAAGTATTCAAGGCACTTTTCCTTGTCATTTGGATGCAATCTACAAAGATGTTCTCTCAATCGACTTGGCTCATTTCATCTAATGTTATGGCAAAATAAACACACTGGATGTTGTTTATGCAAGATATTCTGTGAAACTCCAGAAAACTTCAGATACTCTGATGAATAGCCACATGCATATTTCTTTTCTTTTCTTTTTTTTCTTTTTTTTTTTTTTTTTTTTTTTTTTTTGAGACAAGGACTTGCAATACAGTGCAAAGTCTTTAATCCGGACTTCAAAGCTACAAACTTTCTGCGCATGCGTAGTGTTTACGCATGCACATAATACATTTACGCATGCGCATTTAATGTATAACGGACGGTATAAGCTAAGCTAAAATTATCTTTACTGATTCTAAGGCATTTCATGTTGCAGATTTTCCAGACTACACTGTTCCTTAATCTTCTAATTGGATCCAGGCTTATTATTTTTTGCAGGCTGTTAGGAGCAATTTTTATAAAAATTAAGCTTGAATTTTCCAATTATGTCCAAAAAAAAAGTTTCCTATTCTGGAGCTGCCAAAGGATCACAAAGCGGAAGCATGTTTCGATGTACCGCTTCCGACAGTGAAGAAAGTGACACAGAGGTTATTGAAAATGAAAAAATTTTGATTGGCAAGTTAGTCGGTATTCTCGACATAGCAATTACAGGACTTGAACAGTGGAACTGAACAAGAAATTATGTCTGTTTATAGAATTAAAGAGAAAGTATTAGCACATAAAACGAAGCAACTTAAACAACTTACATTGAAAGAAATGTTTAATAAAGTAAACAAATAAATATTAAGCTTTTTTTTTTTGTAAATTTTGATACCCTTTAGATCATAATTGCTCTTTATTTCATAAATTACGGTTTCATATTTTTAGTTTTATAATTTCTGCACACCATGTTATAAGATTTAAATTAATGATTCTATAATCCAGAAAAACTGATAATCCGGAATCGCCGAAGTCCCGACGAGTCCGGATTAAAGACTTTTGACTGTATTTCACAATATCTTGTTTGAAGCTGTAAGCATGTGCTTACTCTCAGAATTCTAACTACAGTACAAAGTCTGAAATCTGGATTCCATAATCTGGAATGATTTAAAATCCAAGCCTCAAAACCAACAACAACGTTTTTCTCCTACGCTTTACACATGTGCATTTGATTCCCCCCTTCCGTGCATAATAAAACATCTGCAGAGCCCCGATTCTTAATTTCACTTCGACACTAAATAAGATAGTACCTTGTTATTGTAGAAACAAACATATTAGCATAAATTTGTACGATCAGTAATTTGGTTCTGTTGCTGCGTATATGCTTTTTGGCACACATCTGAAACCGAAACATTCCACATAGGTACATTGTTGATCCTGACGCAAATCTGGCGAATATAATTATTTATTATACTTTCCTTTCATCACCGCATGTTTATCAAAACATGACAACTTGAGTAATGTAATCACGTAACGATGCCTAAACAATTTTTTTATGCTAGTAATTGAAAAATAAAGGAGTATGGTAACCTTTTATGTTGACATTATGCTCTTCGATGGTTACAGATTTATGTTAAATGCACTAAAAATATTGACGAGGAAAAATTTGCCTAAAATTTCTTTCCATATGCTAAAATAGAATTTGTTGATGATACTCAAAGACCCAAAGATTACATTTAGGGCTATTTGAATTAAGAATAACTGATTTGTTATTTACATAAACCCAGAACCAGCGCCAAAGCTCCTATTGCGGCAGTCTCGGTGCACAATAGAAGCAAGATAAAATTTAAAGGAACAACTTGTCATTAGTCGCCAAGCTTGTGATACATAGCCAAATATGTATAATGAAGGATAGCTAAATTTGATGATGATAGCCGCTAATTTTAAAGGTTTTCGGATATCACAAAACAAAGGTGAAATTTCCCAATTAACGGATTTTGTAAATCATCAATGTGGAGAAGCGGTAATAAATGAAGATGATATAAAAGAATATTTTCAATGTAATGACAATCTCAATTCTCAATCATCAATCAATGAATGAATGGCGAAATCTGTAATATGTTTCTAGATCCAGAAAGTACCACTACCGATAGTGAAGAAAGTGACAGAGAAGTTACTGAAAATGAGAAAATTTCGGTTGACAAATTAGTCACAATTCTCGAAGCAGCAGTTACAGGACTTCAACAATGTAACTAAACAAGAGATTATGTCTGTCTACAGAATTAAAGAGAAAGTATTAGCACAAAAAACGAATTAACTTATATTGAAAGAAATATTTAATAAGGTAAACAAATAAATATTAAGCTTTTTTTGTAAATTTTGATACCCTTTAGATCATAAATACTTCATTATTTCATAAATCACGATTTCATATTTTTAATTTTATAATTTCTACATGCCATCTTACTAGGTTTAAACTGATGATCTAATATCTGGAATGGCTGAAGTCCTGGCGAGTCCGGATTTTGGACTTTGTACTGTACAGACGGACTTTAGTTTTGATTATGTAATAATTTAGCTCCACTTACATAATGTGAACAAAACTTATGTGCTTGAATGTCTGTTGCATGGTCGTGTGTTTTGGAAGGCTGCGTGCTTTTCTGATTGGTGTTTGAGATGTCTTTCTCATCTCCTGTTGTTGGTCAAGCAGGATCAGGTGTTCCAGTCACTGGATCAGCACCGTGTGGTTGCTCCCACTAGCACCCACCATGAAAGCTGGAATGCTCACTATAGATGGTAGGGATCAGGTTGACTATCACTGCTTTAGACAGATAGATAAGTATCAGTAGAATGTTGAAATTTTATATTTGGAAGAACTGCTATAAAGTATCAAAAGGGCACTTTGATCAAAGGATTTTTTTTTCACCATAAACAACAGTTCCCCCTGAGAGATAACCATAAGCATACATATTATTTTCATAAAACAGGAGTTCTTGCTCCTCGGAATAGTGAATGTTCATAAAAAATTTTCTAGCAAGTAAATTTTTTTATGTCCAGCTTCATTATTTGAAAAGAGTTCTTAAAAAAAAAAACTTTAATACTACTTTGTGTTCACATAAAACAAATAAATATTATGTTCAGCTTTTAATTTATTTTGAGAATCATTACAGAGATGCTCGTGAAAGTATTCTTGTTTATTTTCAGATCTGCAACACTGGGAAAGTTAATAAAGCAAAACTTGCTATCAAATAAGAATGAGTTAATTATTGCATTGAAAGTTGAAATATGTTCTCATCCATGTCTGCAGTAAAAGTAGAGGAGTTCTTGTTTTCCGAGTTACTTTCATCAAGTTCTCCTTCTTCTTCTTTTTTTTTTTTCTAAGTAGTTCGAAAGGACTATTACACGATTTCACGTTTCATTTTAAATGTCGTCCACTGTCAATGCATAGTTTCATTTTTCATTCCAGTCCATTGCCATTCATCAAAGTGAAAAGTATTTATCTTTCAAACTGAATCTGTCTGTTATGAATTAATGAATGAAACACTACACACAACTGAAAAGCACTAGATGCAATCCTTATATGTTTGTCAAGTGACTCCACTGTGTGAAACACAGGGTTTCATAAGGTGTTTATCTTTTCCATCTGTCATGCTTAACTAGTTCTGGTAAGACATAAGATCATAACTTCATCTTTTGCATTCAAGCAATCTATAATTGCCTAAAAATTAAGTAGATTAAGAGCTATAAACTTCCATACTGCTTAAATCTTCATTTTATTTTTGAATAATATATCTGATTAAGATAATTGAAAATACATTAATATATATAAAGCTTGTAATGTCATATATTACATACCTTGCACACAATTGGTTAACATTTTATTTATACACTTTTATAGAATCTGAGTTTAATTTTTTATGTTAATTTTAGATTGCATATCCATAACCAAGAGTTTTAATTAAGTATGATTATTTTTAACCCTACAGATTAATCCTACTAAAGGGCAGCCATGGCCATTGCCTCAACAGTATGCTGCTGAATCGACTTTTTTCACTATTCAACCTGAAAATTTCCATTTTCTTCACAGCAGTAAATGTGATATAATACTGAAAGCTATTGAACGATATCAGAAACTAACTTTTATTGATTCTTGCTCAAAAATGGAAAATAGCCATAGTAATTTGAAATACTCACCTATCAATAGCAATGGACAGTTATATAATCTAACTATTAAAATAGCTGGCTCTTGTGAAAAATATCCTTACATGAATATGGATGAGCAATGTAAGTAGGTCATTTTCATAACAGGATTTCTTCTTATACTAAAACATTTTAATCAGTTGTAATGAGTATAAGATGTATCGATTAATCTTTGGATTATGGTAACTTGGCGATTTTTTTGATGACAATTTGGCGACCAAGACTGCTACAGCAACCTGCTAGTTTTTGTTTGGACGCCATTTTGTTTTCACGAAGTAGAGGCATTTTTTTTTTACTCAAAATTTTTTTCCAACAATCTGCTAGCCGAATTACGCTTATGCTAAAACGGTACTTACGTATTAATGCAACCAGGCCAAAATTCGCATAAATCGCCAAATTTGGCGACCCTACTTACAGCAACCCTACGTGTTATACGTAGTTTTTCGTAAAGAAATTATTTTTCTTACTGGTTAGATTGAATGCCCTGAAATACTTTAATTACTTTTTTGGTTACTGTACCTAACAGAAGCGCCGTTACCCTCATGGAAAAAATTTGCGAAAATATCAAGGAAGGAAGCATCATTTATTCGGATTGCTGGAAAGGATACAATACAAGTGAGTTCGAAAATGCTGGATTTCTGCATGGAACTGTTAATCACAAATATAACTTTGTGGGTCCCAACACGGGCGTTCACACACAACATGTAGAGCGCATGTGACAGAGAGGAACAGACCGTCATCATCTTGACTCATACCTTATCGAATTTATATGGCGCAAAGCTCAAGCTGTTAATGGCGAAGACGGTTTCAATCAGTGCTAAAAGCAATAGCCAAAAGATTTCCGCCGAAAAAATAATTCTACAACTTATTCAAATTCGAAACTGGAAGGGTTTAATTGGTATTTTATATTTTAAAACAAAAATAATATAAAAAACTGTATTAAAAATTATCTGTAATTAATAAATGTACATTTTCTTTCTATTCATACTTTTTTACTCAAACTTACAAATCGCGCCAACATGGTTACGATAATAAGTACCGCTAAAACTTTTATGGAACAAAAGTGCTTAATCATGACGAAGATTAGGTGCGAAATTGGAGAAAGGGCAGAAATGCAAACTGCTTGCCGCACATACATGGTATCCATGTACACATCGACCTATTTTCACTTAAAAAAACATCCCAGAATTGCACAAAAATGGCATTGCGCACGCTCCTGACTTTATCCATGTACACTGCTAAAGCCCTAGCTAGTAACTTTTATCACCTTACCAAAATGTCGCCAATCTACCTGTTACCATATTCCAAAGATTAGCTTGTGTATCTTTTAATTCTTATTATTATGGATTAATAGAGCTTTTGCTCTGTAAATTGCTGTATTCTGTCTCTAAATTTCAGTAGTAAAAATGCAATACTTGCTTGTTTATGCATGCATCTTATTTATTTGCGTACTGAAAACAAAACAAAACAAAAAAAAAAAAAATGTTACTAATGCATTCAATTTACAATGAACAAATTACAATCAATAATAGTTTGACTAGCTTGGAAAATGCCGAATTCTGGATATGTGAAATTTCTTTATAGTTGAATGTATAAAAAACTTGAATATCAAAAACTTACACTTAAAATTAAGATTTTGGGAGAGGAAAAAAAATGCACTTCAGTCTTATAAAAGCTGACATATTTTGTAGGCTTAATTTAAATATGAATTCCTGCCACACAAAGTTGGTGGAGATGTCACCAATCATTTTGGGCAGAAGCTTAAATGAACGTATCATTTTTTATTCAATAATAAAGATATACAAATTATGGATATATCAAATAAAGAACTGAAGTCATTTCTCATGCTTTTTCACATTACATCACCATTGTTTATATGTTTTGAAAGTTGCATATCATGGCTCTTTTATGTTCAGCTTATGTAACTTTGAAAAATCATCTACTTCATGTAGTCTCAAATATTAATAATTTTTTTAATTGCAGAGAAGAAGAGCTTATATCCTTCATTACAAAAATTAAACTAACTCATCAAGAGTTAATGAAATTTACACCAAACCAAAACCAACTTCTTATGATTGGGTTACGACATAATGCTTATCACTGAGCAGCCCTAAATCACACAGGTTAATGACAATGTATCCTTGTAAACAGTATTGCAAGTTTTATAATAGCATTACAAATCTCTCATTTATTAATTTTTGGGAGATTTTTTTTAATTCTATAATACTGCAGTTAGCTGAATGCCAAAAAAGTTGGACTTTTAATGTAATATTTTTAAAAGCTTAGTTATTAAAAATAAATTGCAATAGAGCTTCAATTATTCAATTCAAAAGTTCTCGAAACTCCATTATCCAGACTGCTTATTGTTTATTGTAACTGAAATAAAACTAAGTTTGTTTATTTATTTATTTATATGTTTTTAACCACAGTAATTTTTCCTTAACATGAACCCACTTAAGGTGGTTAACATGAACAAAATTTCGGCATGGCACCTATGTAAATGATATTGCAGGAATTTTAATTTGGTTAATGCAGATTTTAGTTAGCATGAATTATGGACTGTTTTTTCTTATTTTGTTGCATCGTTATATATTGCAATTTGCATTGTTGAAAAGAAGGTGGAAACAACTGGTGTTTACTTGAGGCAATAAAAGCTATTGCTGCATCCTGAGAATTCAAGTCATCGTAACATGTACAGAACTATTTTAGCAGAGCCTGAAGGCATAAAGATGCTAATCCTGTTGACAAGTTAGGTGAAGACAACGATACTAATTCACCTGATAAATGGAATGTGCAGAGGATGATTTTACCATGTGTGCTGCAGTGAAATTTATTGTTCAATCAGTTGTGTCTGTGGTGAAAGACATGTCATCAGAAGCGAGTCTCCTACATATCCTAAGTGTTACTCACCATGGATACTTCAGAATGTTAGAATGTCTTGCTGTAACATCCAGACTGACTGTTAATTTTACAGAAGCCATGAGCACAGTTGGCCTAGAAGTTAGCCAGGCATTTTCTTTCCCGTCTGTGATAGTGCAATGTACAGAAAGTTTTCATCAGAGAAAGGTCTAGGTAATGCAGTTTTTCAAGTTGCTGCAGTTCAGTAATTAATGTACTACTGTAGTGTATCCTATGAAGACATACATAATATAATGTAGTACATATATACCTATATACTGTAAATGGGTAATATATGGGGAAAACTATTCCAAAAATAAAATTACGGTTACACGAAAAATAAAATCCCCGGTTACATGAATTTTTTTAACACAAACTTGGTCACTTGGGATTCATGTTAATGAGAATGTACTGTATTTAATTGATATAAAATGATCATATAGTACATGTTTTCAAAAGTTATCAAATTATTAGATGAGTATGCATGACATATAAATTGGCATATGATGTTCAGTAAAATACACTGGTTATATATTAATGAAAAGCAGTTATATGCGATTCAGTTCTGTAAATATCAGTGGAAAAGCAATTAATACATACTACTTATAGTCCTGTTGTTCTTTGCTAAGTTTAAATACACTGGTAATATATTAATGAAAAGCAGTTATATACTATTTAGTTCCTATAAATATTAGTGGAAAAGAAATTAATACATACTAGTTATAGTCCTATTGTTTTATGTTTCCAAAATAATGAGCTACGTGATTAGGTAAATAAATAATTTATTTAATTGCATTTAAAAGTATTTTGTCTTTTGTTTTAAAAGAATAACAGTTTTTATAGTTTTAATGATATTTTTCTATCAGCTGGGGCACAACTTAGGGCCATCCATAATACATTGGCACAAAATCTAATTTAAAGGTAACAATTGTAATGATATATAAGCATGAAAAGAATAAACTATTTTATCTATAATGAATATAATATTTATAATGTTTAATGTGCACAATGTCACATTTGTGCAATTCTGTAATTTTTTTTTTAAGCAAAAACAGTTTGTTGTGTATATGGAGAGAACAAAACTGTTGTTTTTCTCGTGCACAAAGTGATTTCTTATCACTTAAAAAACTGAAAGACTTGCATAAATTTAGCATCACATGCAGTTTTAGCGTTGCACACATTAAATGTTATGAATGTTGTATATATAAGTGCAGCTACCTTGGTACTGTTTGACAGTTTTTTACAGAAGCTAAAGAATGATGTTGCAAGCAAAATTACAAAACATTTTTTATATAAATATAATATACACACATATTTTATGTTTTAATTATGTATTCCAAAAATTAATCAACAAACTTGTTTACGAGTGAGTAAATAATTAGAATTTGGAATGCAACAAAATGAAAGCATGTAAAAATAAGCAATGTTTCTTGCGAAAACTGAAAAATTGTTATGAATATGGGTGACAGATCAGGGCATATTCTAAAAATTCGGTAACTTTTTACAATATGCCCTGATCACTAATACATAAGTGCCATATACCTTTGTGCAGCTATTCATAACACAGTGTAAACAGGCTACTGCATTTGACAGCTGGCACCATGTTAAGTGTGAATAAGAATATTGATATGCTACTAAAATTTACTTTTTAAAATAACGTCATAAAGTCCTCAGTCATGCAATATTTATGCAATAACTTTATAATATAGTCAAAAGTCTTTAATCCGGACGTCCATAATCCGGACCTCAAAGCTACAAATTTCCTGTGTGTTTACGCATGTGCATAATACCTTTATGCATACACGTTTAATATATAACGGACAGTATAAGCTAAGCTAAAATGATCTAATTATCTATTTCAGTTAATGTTGCAGATTGCGTTGTTCCTTAATCTTCTAATTGGATCCAGCTTATTATTTTTTGCAGACTTTTAGAGCAATTTTATAAAAAGTGAGCTTGAACTTCCGATTATGTCAAAAAGAGTTTCTGATTCTGGAGCTACCAAAGGACCTGCAAAGCGAAAGCATGTTTCGATGTCCATTAAACAAAAAGTGGAATTGCTGCAAAAAATGGATAAAGGCATGAAGAAAGTAACAGAGAGGTGATTTGTTTCTCTAACCATTCCGAAATCTGTTTATCAATTTCACGCAGCTCTGCAGTGTGGGGGGAGGGACGTCGCGGCGCGCAATAAACTGGAACTTGATCTGTCAGCACTATCCTATCTTCAGGGCAGATGTTTTTATTTTATTCGGCTTATAATTCCTTACTAAATGTTGTGTTTAATCTCGATGTACTCCGATATGATTTAAATCAATTTCCTTGTCATTATAAATATCACGAATGCACATCAAATAGTTTTCTGGTTGCAATTTTCTAATTTTGACTATGCGTAATGTATGCTTTACGCATGCACGCGTTGAAAGAAATGTTTAATAAAGTAGACAAATAAATATTAAGCTTTTTTTTTTTTTTTTTTTTTTTTTTTTTTTTTTTTTTTTTTTTTGTAAATTTTGATACCCTTTAGATCATAATTGCTCTTTATTTCATAAATTACGGTTTCATATTTTTAATTTTATAATTTCTGCATGCCATCTTGCCAGATTTAAACTGATGATCTATAATCCGGAAAAACGGATAATCCGAAGTCCCGACGAGTCCGGATTAAAGACTTTTGACTGTGTATTCATTCTGTAATTTTATTGCAAATATAAATTATTTTACATTTTCTGTCATATTAATAATACTTAATTAAGCTAGAATAGAAGAAGAATTAATGTCATTAAAATATTACAAAAAATATTATTTTATAAATTAATGTTATGTTAATTCTATTAAATATATAATACCAATTTTTCATTCCTGAATATCCAATAGTATTTATATGATTTAATGTAAACAGTATAGGATATCATATAGATGGTACATTTATTTATGTTATGTTTTCTATTTTCTTATGACTATAATTACAGTATTCTTTTGACAAAAATATGGTTATGGTACAGTTTGTCAAAAACATTTTATAGCTGTTTTATATATGCAATATATGTATTAGTTTGATATTTGAGAAAAATATTAAATTTGTAATAATCAGCTTACAACTGTTTAAAAAATTTTCAAATGCATAAAGTAAAATACTCCTACTTTTTAATTCATTTGATAATTATGTTAAAAAGCTAAAAATGTAGTTGTAAATATAACTGATAATTTGTAAAAAAATATATTTATTCTGAATATTAAAGAAATTTTCGAATTGATAGTAGCTTGAACTGGGGGAAAATAATATTTTAATAGATTTTTAAAATACAGTTTTCATAAACAATACAGCAGTACTGAATGTCTTTTCAGATTTAATTGTTGCAATGTCATGAACTTCCTTTTACTGTATAGTATCTGGGCTAAATTTGCTGTGGCAAAATTACAAGGTTTCATATACTTAGCTGATGATTTTATACATATTTAAAAAAAAGTGAGCTATTACAGTTAGATGATTTTAAAGACATAAACATAATCTAATCTACCTGGATATTAATCTACATACTAATACTGTTATTAATACAGCTTCTAAACAGTGTTACAACCAAAAAAGTGTTTTACATGGTCCAATAGTATTTATATGAGTGACAGAGAGGTGATTTGACATGCCGGTGATGATCCCCCCCGGAACATCATCCTCTCTTAAGGATTTATATGAGTGACAAACACCATGCATAATTTCCTCATTCCCGGTGTGATAATAAAAAAGACAATGCTTTTAACAAAACTAGACAAACACATATGCCCTATGTGAATATGGTTATTTTTGTCTATTTATTTATGGCTAAAGATGTTGTAGCACATATGATGTTAAACTTCTAAAGAAATCACCTGTGTGGTGTGTTAAAGTGATCATTTAAATCTCTTTTCGGCAGTGAAATTTATCATGCTACGTTAGTTGTTGTATTAGTAGCATTACTGTGTTAGGATTAGTTCCCAATAGTATAGATTACATTCTGTATCATCAAAATCATGTAATGAAAATAGTAACTTTCTAAAATTCAAAACCATCAGTAATATAATAATTTTGTTTAATAATAAATTTATATTTTTCTTCATGTAGATCTCTTAAAAATAAACTCTCCTGATGCTGTTAATCAAGCTCTACTCTTCAGTACAACAGTATGGGGAGCTCTTAGAGGATTAGAGACATTTAGTCAGCTAGTTTATCAACTTCAGCCTGGATTGGTAAATAGAAATTTAATTTTAGCGTTTTCATGTTTTAAACTTAAAACACATTTTATGCATGTTTAAGAAATTAAACTAGTTTAGTTCAGCTTTGAAATATGCATGCCAAGTTTTCTAATATTTATATATGTTTTATGTAGTTTGCTGTAAATACAACTATGGTATTAGACTTCCCACGCTTTTCTTTCCGGGGTTTGCTGTTGGACACTTCTAGGCATTTCATTCCTGTGCCAATTTTGCTGAAAAATTTGGTATTTTTTCATTGTAAAATGTTTTTATTTTTTTATGTTTTACACTCCAAAGAATTTATTAAATACCTTTTTTTAAACAGAATGGAAAAAAAAAAAAAGTTGCAACTATGCTGTATTCTAACATACATAATTATTTTTAAATGATTTGTGTTGACAAATGATTCTTTTTAAAACTATCTCAATATGGAAGTATTTTGATTTGATTTGAGGAAGTATTTTGATAGTAGTTATTAAATAATCAAATGAGAACACTTTCAAGGAAATAATTAAAAATCTAATTTTTCTAAAAAACATACATAAAATAAATGTTAAAAAAGTCTAAATTAACAATTTTTAATGACTTTAATTCTTTTAAGGTTTCTCTATCATTTACCACCTCAATTTTGAAATTAAGGAAAATTTTTTTAATGAATATGATGAGGACAAATGATAAATTTCTAATAAAAATGTATAAAAAAGGGACAAATTTTCTAATAAAAGCATCAAAGATTGAATGAGGACAAATTATAAATTTGTAATAAAAATATATTAAAGATCAAATAAAGACAAACAATAAAAACTTGAAAAAAAGGGTGCCTCCAAAACAGAATGTGCTTAGTTAAAAAATAAGAAAATTATATTTCTGAATTAATATCTAAATACTTTCTTGAAAATAACATTTGCATCTTTTTAAGGCAAATCTGTTTTCAATATGATGTCTCAATTTTTTATTTTATTAATACATTTAATTATGAAATATTCTGAAAGTTTTTGATGTTTGAAAATCTCATTTCAGTCTATAATATCTCTCAAATGTTCTAAAGAACTTTCTGATTATATCTGCCCACCAGCGGCCGAGCGGTAACGTCGCTGAACACTGGTAGTTCGGTCCGAGGTTCGAATCCCGCGAACGGGCTGGCTGCATGGGCGTTTTCGTGGTTTTCCCCATGTGTAACGTATATACGAGCCAGTTTCCCTTAAAAAGTCCTCCACGAAGGCATCCCTCCCTTAAGGCAGATAGCCCTCGAGTGCTTTGCCGTAATCTAATAAACCAAACCAAACCAAACCATCTGATTATATCTGGTTTCTGTTTATATCTGGGAACTTTTAATTTTCTCAGGTTCTCTCTACAATGATATTATCACTTAAAAGTTTGAAATTTTTTCTCAATCCAGTTTAGGAGCATTTTCAATTATAAACTTTTCTAATAACATCTGGTATCTACATATGACATCTGAGTAAAGTTAAGTATTCATTCTTGATGAGAAATCTTCCTGATATGCTCAAAGATTATCTGATTTTTTACTGCTTTTCAGGTTTTGTAACTTTTCTAGTGTGTTATTTTGCTTTCATTTTATTAAAGGACCTGATTTAAACCAGTGATTAAATAACATATCATTTAAAAATTTAAAATGTATTTTTTCTCTGTATTTTTAGTGAATAAATAATTGCTGTTTATATAGAAAAATAATTTAAAATCAAAGATTAGAATTTAGGCATTAGTAAACTACAGTAAATTATCATCTTTCTTTTTAATACACACAACCAGAAAGTAATCATTGCAAGATCGATCAAACATAAATTTTTACATGGAAATGAATAGCAGATACTGGAACTTTTAATTGGCATCATGATACATGAAGATAAAGGGCATTTAATATAGTTAAAGAGAAATACCTAAATGGTTTTCTAAAAGAGACCCTTTTTGAATTGTTTTACTTGGTCGTGGAGAGGTCAATATTCTATTTCCATGAAATTATTATATAATGGTATATCAAAGAAATTCAGGAAGTAAGAGAAAGTATCTAATGTAAAAATATTGATGTTTTGAAGAAACTTAATAATGGAATAAAGTTGTTCAGAAAATGTTAACATCTCTATAACAAAATATCTTTGCTACTTTTAATGTAATGATAATTTACTAAATGATTAATAGAAAAAGATAATGTATGAAAAATAAATTTTGCATATTTTATTATAGGTTTATGTAAAATAAAATTTGTAAAAATACAGTTGCTTCAAGGTTTAATAAGAAAAAAATTAAATTTTACAAGATAAAAGCAGAAACGTTGTCTCAGCACATGCTTATAAATTTAAAATTGGAAAAAAAGAATAATTGCTTTTTAATTCATTTATATAATAAAATCCTTTGCATTTAATCTGTAGTTTTGCATTGAATCATTTATTTTAATATCAAAACTTCAAATCAAAATGAGTTGTGTGTTGCCAGGAGAGAGCATTCATTATTTAACCAATGAATTTATTACAATTCATTATTTTTCTCAGTATGCTAGAGATGATTTATCTACTTCACTGTACTGTATATTTAATTTAAAGCCGGCTAATCCTTATTTCTGAATTTTTCCAATGAACTGTATGATATAACAGTATGTTCTGTTTATGTGATAAATGTATTTTTCAGAAATTTGGTGCACAGCTGAAAATGAACCTGAGATGCTTTTTAAGAATATAATTCAACTGATAGTTATTTAACTTCAGAACATGCTCTTAAAAATATTTAAAATTGTAAGTCTTTCCCTTCTTTAATGGACATTTGCAGTAAATAAAATTTAAACAAAATTAGAAGCAGAACGTAATTTATTTCAAACTGCATAATGAAAAAAAAAAAGTTCCCATCTAGTACTTTATGATGTTCCAGAAATGTTTTTGTTTTGGCCTTTTTCTGTTGCTTAATAATGACAGAATTATATATTAGAATAAACTTAAAGCAAACAATGTAGAGGAGATTTTCATTTAAGTCAGTAAATGAAAGTACCTCAAAGTCTTATAAAGGGGCAGTAATAAAAATATTGAAATTTTAAATTGACTAATAAATTATTAATATTTCTTCAAAAAACAAAGGCTACTGCTTGGAGATTTTAACCAGTCAATTGATACTATAAACAGGTAAAATTACATAAAATTGCTAAATCCAAATAAGAGAAGAAAAAGTAATCAGAGTTACCTGTGGATATTTCCTGTTATTCAAAATGATATGTTCAAATGTTTGTGTGAATACCATAGAAATGAAACTGTAATTTCTTAGTTTGTTTCAGTTTAAAAATGCAATCAGGTACAGTAGTAAAAGTAGTACAAAGTAGTAAAAGAATTTTTTTCTATAAGAATAGAATGGCAATGAAAGATGTGAAATCATGTGTGTTAAATAATAATGTATCCAAGCAGATGTGCGGAAGTTGTAAGAAGTTTGAATTCATGAACTTTCTAAGTGAAAAAAAAAGATTTCTTTAGGTCTAATTTTCCAAAAGTTTTGATAAAATTTAGAGAAAACTGATTCTATATTTATGTTTCATAAAACCTAAAGGAAATTGGATTCTAAATTCTTACAATTTAACTAATTTTATTACAATTTAAATAATTTTATAAAAATTTTGACTTAATTCTTAGACTGGTGAATTTTAAACTTTTATCATGGTGGATTTCATTATTTTTATGCTTTAGAATGTTAGAACAACATAATATGCAAAAAATACAGTCAATTTTAAAATATATAAAATGCTTACTAAACTCCTATACATGAATATAATTTTTTTTTAAATCTGACATTAAGTAGCATGCTGTTGAAATTTTAGGTTCTAACTCTGAGTAAACGATTAGCCAAAAAACATTAATTTGATTAAAAAATAATATTAATATAATTTTATCTGAATTATTAATCTCTCATCTTCTGTGATGAAAGTACATTGGTGAGCATAACTAAAGAATGTAGAAAATCAGCTCTAAGTATCTTAAAATAAATTTAAATTTACTTGTTAATTGTTCTAACTTAAAATTTATCTGTCACATTTAGGATGCCATGGCACAAACAAAATTAAATGTTTTTCACTGGCATATTGTTGATGACCCCTCTTTCCCTTATGTCAGCAAGAAGTTTCCTAGTCTTAGCCAAAAAGTAAGTTTATTATCAGCTGTTATTGATGTCAGAAAATATGTTATTTAATTTATTATTGTTTAATTTGTTATTAAATTTGCATATTTTGTTCCATACAAATAGATTTTTTTAAAATGTAAAGGTGTATGTGAGACATTATTTTTTTATGTAATTGTTTTACCAAGAATATTTTTTCCCTTTTTTAAAAATGCTGTAATATTTTAAAACAAAAATAATGATTTGAAAATTGTCATAAAATAAACTAAAATAGTCCGTTTTATATTTGAAAATCCTTTTTGTAAGTTATATTGTCACAGTTTTTCAGTCTGTATTATCATTAATCTAAAAATTACTATTTGTAAATTGATTTTCTGTCTTTGTGAAAAAAATGGATATTGTCCAAAAGGAAACTATTGTTAGAAGTCATTCGTTAAAGTTTTACAAAATATGAAATAGTAAAACAAATTCCAAATTTGGTCTTCCGGATACCAGTATTCAAGTGGATGACTACCTCATTCAAAATTTGATGTCTCTAAGTACCGCTGTTTTTTTACTGTGCAAGAAACATATATACATTCATGCAGATTCTTTATTATTTAGTTTCTTTAAATATAATGTAGGGCTCTAATATTTGGTGGCAACAATTTGGAAAGTGAAATGCCGTTTATAATGAATCAGCACAAAATGCCAAAATGAAATTGACAGCCCATCTGGTCTAATTATTTTTTAATTAAGTTTTTTATAAAATGTTAAAATATGAGTAATAATGGAGATCATTAGATATTTTGGAACAAAAACCATTAAAAATCAACTGTAACTTCAAACTTTAGATCACAGATATTCCACTGCTAGCTGAAAGTGCTCACCTTTTACATCATAGAAGTGTGTTTCAAAAGGAGAATGCAGTAATTCTTAGCATTTCCTCTTATTTGACTGAGAAGAGATATAAGATGCTGTTAACCAAACCTACATAGTGATGAGTTACCATCCTTCTAATTTTTAGTTCGAGTATCATTGGATATTAGACTTTTCAGAGTATAAAACATTAAAAACCAACTGATAATCCATCAATAATCAGTCTTCTCACCTTCTTTATGTATCCAGCTCTTCCCCCCTCCTCCCCAATGAATAGCAATTATCAAGTCGCAGTTTTCTCATGTGTTACCATCTGTAGATTTATGTTAATTGTGTTCCTGGCAGATAATTATTTAGCTACATCCATTCAGCACTTTTAAAATAAAATTCATCGTATCTTCAATACAGAATGCTATACATTTACAGCTCAGCATATGAATGAATTTTTGACACAGAAAATTTCCTCAGTGCAGAATGAAGAGAATTAAGTAAAAGAATATGTGAAATTTTGCCTTACGTGGAAATATGAATTGGGATAATTTCATCACTAATCTATTCTATCCAATATTCAATGAAAACGCAGATGGTCTGCAAAGTAAAAGTAATATAGCCCTTACAAAAAATATCTTGCGAAAAATCTAAAGAATTCACCATCTCCCATTCAGAGGGTAGAATTTGAACAGCATTTTAAATGCTGAATGAAACAAACTAATGAGGATAAAGAAAAAGTTCCATTCCTTAAAAGATAAATACCTGTATATCCCCCAAGCTTGTAAGAATCTATTCACAGTTTCCTTTTTTCCCCCCTCTTAAATAGCAAAAATTTCCATCATAGCATCAACATTGAACAGAGTTCTGATGCTCAATCGAACTGATTGAAATTCTTCGGTTTTGCACTACTGCATATTTACTCTGTAAATATTATCATCTGATTTGGCATCATCTTATAGAACAGCCAAATTTCATTGGTATAATTTTTTGTTGAAAATATGGTATTATATTTCATTGATTTTTTTTTTTTTTTTTTTTTTTTTTTTTTTTTTCCCCATTGCCAAGATACATCCTAGACATTTCTTTTTTGCATTTCTGAATATCTCACCTGCAAATGTTGCTGGCCGTTATTTTTATTGGAGGAAGTTTTTTTTATTAGTATTAATTTGTCTTTATTTTTATTAAAAGCTTTTCAATATATGGATGATTTTTTTTGGCTCAGTGGATGACACAATATAATCTCCTATGTTTAGCTCATTATGTGTCTTGGCTTTCTAAGAACGCATAGCCTTTGTTTAAAACACAGAGATGGTGGAAGTAAACATAAAAGAACAGTAATCTGAAGATACCTAATACGCATGGATGATTTTAAGGGTTAATAATTTTTGAGTTGAAAATTGCAGAAATTTTATTAAAAAAACATGTCTTGAAGATTATCTACAAAGTTTGTTATATCCCCCCCTTTTTTTTAACATTTTGAATTCCATTATAGTGATATTAAGTAGCATTCAGTATATACAAAATTAGATGCAAATAAAAAGTTCATTTATTTTATCTGGGGCTGATTATAAACCAGATGTGCTATAGCAAGGTTTTATAATATAATACTACTGTATGTAATAATTTCTTTATTTTCTTTAGAAAAGTAATTGATAATGTTGCAATAATTCTGTATAAAGATGTGATTAGTACAAACAAAAATAGAAAATGTGACATTTTAACTTCATGTAGGGAGCTTTCAATCCTGAAACACACATATATTCTCAAGCAGATGTGGCTACAGTTATTGAATATGCACGTTTGAGGGGAATAAGAGTTCTTGCGGAATTTGATACTCCTGGTATGTAAGAAGATTTAAAAGCTATACTATATTTTTTTTAAACTAATTCTTCAGCTGACATGAAAATATCACATAATTTATTATGTAAATGTTGTAAACTTTAAGTATTTGTAATGAGTAAAATTTTATTTAAGATTTTTGTAGATGAATGAAAATGCTAATATGAGCATTTTCCGTAACTATTGTTTCTCATTGCAATTCCATTATGTTCTATGAAAAATATTTTCAAGAAATTAAACATTTCTAATGTAAATTTTTCATTAAAAATAAAACTTTGCATGTGTGACCATTGTAAAAATAATTTAAGCATTCAAATAATAATAATAGAAAAAAAGATTATTAACTCTCCAAATATGTCTGCCATTATTTTTCCTAATGCCTTTAAGTAACTTCATATGTGTCTATCTCAAAATATGTCTAAACTATAAAGCAGTTTGTAGAAAATTAAGAGAGTCTGTGTATAAATTTGCAAGGACATTTTTGAAATGTAATCAAGAAAGTATTTCTTCCTTAGTCTATACTGGAAAATTTTTTGTTCTGGCCAAACTTTGGGCTAATTGGAGGCTAACTATTACATGTAGAAGTGATCAGCTGAATCTCATCAGTATATCATTTTTATATGTATAAAAAACATGATTTCAAATAATTTCCTTTTTAATTATTTAAATTTTATCATTTTTAAAATTTATCTCTGAATAAATTCTCAAGTAAACTTGAGAATTTACTTAGAGATCTGCTAGACTTTAATGATTGACGAAATTCAGAATAATTTTAAACTTTTGCTTCAGAACAAAGATTTTGAAAAAAAAAAAAAAATTCCTTTTGCCAAGAAAATTAATATTAAATGAGCCTGAAAATTGCTAGTTTTCAAAATTTAAATAATATACATATCATGTATCTATTAATCTGTTATATTACTTAACTTTCTTACACATACCCTTTAGTAGAATTATACTATGAAGTGGCAGGCCATGGAATGCAAAGGGTGTGCCACTATGCACAGGTTAAGCCATTATCTACACTGCCACAGCCACACAGACAGCTACACTTTCTGCCATTTGTGGAACCTATTTGCATATCTGGCATATGTGATGTCACATAGAACCATTGAAAACCAAGTGTTGAAGGGTGTACTGCATTGTTAGTGACCCTTGTGATATCTTCCATTGATGATAGCTCATCACCAATAGCATTTGCCGTGGTGTCATACCTATGTGTGGAATGTAAAGATCTAGAGTTATTTTCATCAATGAATCTGTGTTATCATTTGGCCCTGATGGCTATTGCAACTATGTGAGCAAGCAGCCAGGCCAATACTGCTCACTTTATTTGGGTGTGGAGCAGCAGCATCATGCCTGGCATTACCTTTGAGTGCTATGGCATATGAGACTTGATTACTTTTAATCATCCTGAGCTTCACTCTGAGCAGCCAACAACATCGATGGTAGTCTATTGTAGTAGCCATGCTTTTGAGCCTGTAGCTATTTTCAACATGATAATGCTCATTTTCATGCAGCATAAATCACAGTAGACCTTCTTCACAACCTACAGCCCTTCTCCATCCCAGTTGCAAACTTTTTCCTCATTGTATATGTTTGGGATATGGCTGGCAGCTGGCACCAACCATCATAAAACATTTCTGACCTCTCTGTGTAATTAAATACACTAAATGTGGTGGCACATCTCTCAAGACATCATTAGATGCTTGTATGCACTCATGCCAGATTGCATTTCTGCTTGGATCATGCCCAGGGTGGCCATATATGCTATGGTTTCCTCTATGTGTTCGGCCAGTTTCGTATTGAGCCACTGCTTTTTCAAGATGTGTGGATTTTCTTGTTGCAGAGATATATGAAGTATTTTGAATTGTATGATATCATGAATGAAGATATTTTTAGCAAACAAATATGATCTTTATTTAATATTTAAGCAAAATACGCAATGCATTAAGCACTTATTATAGATATCTATAGTGAATCTACTATTGCAAAATCTTTTGTAAAACTTGAGAGCAAATTCCATAATTTTTGTTCCAAAATATACACTGCTCAAAATTATTAGGAGATATTGTGAGTTCGGTATAAAACAATCAAACAGTCAACAATGTTTTTAATAAAATAGAAGAGGTTAAAAAGGAAAATTTTAATATTTACAAAGTTGGGGATATGCAAATTTTGTCTGTACCGTCGAAAACTTCATGTTTTAGATAAGGAATAAAAGTGACCTGCAGCATTCCTTCTATAGGAGAAGATTAAAAACAATTGACACATGTTAAATTTTTTATAACAGTGAATATGATGTCTCAGTAAGATGGTGTAGTTGAATTGGGAGCAGAGTGATTTTTTTGGGCCGCTATTTCGATAGCCGAACAACCACGCACTTTATGAGGAGTGGAGCATTAATGGCTCAGTGATATAGGGATGAGATCCTCAGACTTATTGTGGTCCTTTATGCTGTAGCAATCAGGGATGAAGTCATCCATGAGCTATTGGCTCATGGCTGGCACTTGACATTATGAGCCTTGGATGATGGGCTTGGCATTATGGATGCCATGGATGCCAAATGCTAGCCATGAGCTAGTGCTAGACATTACCATCCTTAGCTAGTGGACAGTTTCCCTTTTGACAAAGGAATCCTTCAAATGGATTGGCCAGCTTGTTCCCCAATGATGAATCCAACAGAACATATTTGGGATTAAGACACAATAACATGCCGAATAAATACTAATTCAGAAGTCAAACAACAAAAATCAGCGTTATACCTACAAAATTTTCACAGGACTAGTTTCGATGGTTTTACCGAACCATCATCTTCAGCTGCAAAACCGCAAATGAACAAGGTTGGAAATAATGATTAGATAAGATAAGAAAGCCTGAACAAGAATAAGCAAGTGGCGCCATCTGTTGGCGAAACCAGAACTAAAACATAATTTCTCTAAAAACCGAAGGCAAATTTGGATTGGAATTAGGATCGTTAACTAGAACAGAAAGATTTTTTTATGAATGTGAAATGCCTCTAGAAAATCCAGTTCTCCAATGGAAGATGTTTTTTGAATAATTTTGGCAGCAGAAAAATTGAAAGTGTGATTTTCGGACCAACAATGTTGAGCAACAGAAGACTTCTGTGTTTCCTTTTTTCTAACATATGCCTCATGTTCTTTGACGCGAAATTTTAAGGCTCTCTTAGTTTGGCCAATGTAAATTAAACCACACTGGCAAGGAATCCTATAAATACCCCAGGAATTCATATCCGGAATGGGTCCTTGAGTATAGAAGTTGGAATTTTATTGATGGGAGAATAAACAACCCGAAAGTTAAATTTCTGCAAAATATGTGCAACTTTATAGCTAATTGATGGAAAGAAGGGAATGACAACAGAATTTTTATAATCTCCTAAAATAAGAGTGTGGCTTTTAGTGTGTTGAGATGAGAATTTTTTAACTGCTTGATTAATAATGTTGGGTGAAAAGCCCCTGTCAATAGCTATTGCTTTTAAATAATTTAGTTCTTCATCAAGGGCTAGTTTGGAGGAGCAAACTTGAAGAGCACGGAAAACATAGGAATAAAATGAAGCTAACTTTTGTTTAGTCGGATGACATGATTTAAAGTGTGGTGGAAGGCAAACCGATGAAGGTTTACGGTAAACTGTAGTACTGAAGTTGGATGTGTTACGTGTGACCAGAATGTCGAGAAACGGAAGAGAATTGCAAGTCTCAAGTTCAAAAGTGAACTGAATAGCAGGATCAATAGAATTCATTGTTGAAAGAACTTTATTTAAATCATCTTTATTACCTTCAAACAGGTAAAAGTATCGTCTACGTAGCGGAACCATGCCGGGAAGTTTAAAGTTTCAAACAATTTTGATTCATAATAATGCATGTAGATATCAGCCAGGATGGGACTGAGGGGGCTTCCCATGGCTAATCCCTCAGTTTGCTTGTAATATTTATTTTGGAAAACAAAATGTGTTTGTTTCAAACAGAGTTGAGTGAGAGAAATTAGCTCCTCAATTTCGATGCAAGAGAAATGAAATTCGCGAAGTCTGGTTTCTAGACATCTTAATGCACCCTCCACTGGGACATTGGTGAATAATGATTTTACATCAAAAGAAACCATGAGTAAATTACTAGGAGAAATGTTTTTAACCTTTTTAACAAACTCTATTGAATTTTTATGGTGTAAATGTTATTGTCTAATAGAGTGGAAAATCTAGAAACTAAATATTTAGCTAAAGGATACGAGGCAGTACCTAAATTTGATACAATAGGGCGGAAAGGAATACCACTTTTATGAATTTTGGGAAGAGCATATAATCTGGCACAATTCGCAACAGATGGGATAAGCGAATGTTTTAAGTTGCTTGAAATGATTTGCGAAGATTTGATCGCAGTTTTTATTTTGGATAAGTCCGAAGGTGAAGGATCTTTAGGGATCGGATTATATGGTCCAACATTGGCCAAACTAAGAGAGCCTTAAAATTTCGCGTCAAAGAACATGAGGCATATGTTATAAAAAAGGAAACACAGAAGTCATCTGTTGCTCAACATTGCTGGTCCGAAAATCACACTTTCAATTTTTCTGCTGCCAAAATTATTCAAAAAACATCTTCCATTGGAGAACTGGATTTTCTAGAGGCATTTCACATTCATAAAAATCTTTCTGTTTTAGTTAACGATCCTAATTCCAATCCAAATTTGCCTTCGGCTTTTAGAGAAATTATGTTTTAGTTCTGGTTTCGCCAACAGATGGCGCCACTTGCTTATTCTTGTTCACGCTTTCTTATCTTATCTAATCATTATTTCCTACCTTGTTCATTTGCGGTTTTGCAGCTGAAGATGATGGTTCGGTAAAACCATCGAAACTAGTCCTGTGAAAATTTTGTAGGTATAACGCTGATTTTTGTTGTTTGACTTCTGAATTAATATTTGGGATGTTAGGAGAAGGGTTGTGAGTCACTTATCACTTCCAGAAACTATTCAGCGGTTTGAAAGCTGTCTTCTACTGGAGTGGGAGAAAATACCTTGGTCCCTCACTGATAATTTTATTGGTTCCATGCCTCGTAGGTGTGTGACATTGCTTTCAGTCAAGAGAAAACGTACCCCTTATTGAAACTCATTTTTATCTGAGAAATCACACTTTTTGTTTGTTTATGTAATATGCACATATTGTGCACTCTTTGTTACTGTTAAATATCGTCAATAAATTTAATTATTCCTTGTTTGTTGCTTCTTTTTCTTTTCTCATATCTTACAGCTCTAAAACATTTTATCATTATTATATCAGTCATTAAAACATTTCCTTATCTGCATTTTATATCCAAAATCATAATATCCCCTAATTGTTTTGAGCAGTGTATATTGCGATTTGAAATTTTTGAGGGAAAAATCTTTGGAAGATATGAAAAAAGCACTAAAATCACAAAAAAAAAAAAAAAAAAAAAAAAAAAATGTACAAATTTGTAGCAATGCAAAGCAAATATCTAAAATACTTACATAAAAATAAAAGCACTTTTGAGTTTATATATATTTATATTTTTATTTTAGGCCACACTCTTTCTTGGGGGAAAGGGCAGCCAGATCTTTTGACAACTTGTTATTCTGGACAATCTCCAAATGGAAGATATGGTCCTTTAAATCCAATCAATGATGACACATACACTTTCTTAGAATCATTCTTTAATGAAATAGATAATGTTTTCCCTGACTCCTATGTTCATTTAGGAGGTGATGAAGTTAGTTTTGACTGCTGGTAAGTTGTTAAAACATTAAATATTTTCTTGTCTTTAAATCTTTGATTTAAAGTAGCCCATTATCACATCAAGAATATTGTGATAGAAATATATTTTTATATGTATAATTAAACAAAATTCTATAATTAGCAACAGTATTACTGTATATAATAATATTTTATAAAAGAGATAACTAAAATTTTTATTAAATATTATCCTTTTACCTCTTATTGCCCGTCAATCCAGAATGGAACTGCTTTTAAAGTTATTGAATATGCAGAGGGTATGCCTTCTTCATTAATGTTCACTAATTTAATTTATTTAAAAAATTAAGGTTTTATAATTGATTATATTTAATTGTTCCATTTTGAGGTAAAGTAATTGTTGAAAACCTTCAACCTATAGAGAGAAAGAAAATAAGTTTTTCCTAAAGATTGTTTCAGATACCTGCTAAAATTATATTCATTCAAGACCTGTTTATTTATTTATGTATATTTATTAAGTTTTTCAAACTGTATTTTTAGAAATTTGAAAATGTATCTGATGTTAAAAAAAAGGGCTGTGATGCTTGTATTTGTTATTCATGATTTTCTTATGCATTTCTCTTGGTTTCCTTTTTATTAGATTTTTCACTCTTCCTGATGATAAAAACTGACTTTGAAATAACATTCACATAACCATGTGTTATATATAGGTTATTTGTTCACATCATTGTCCATGTTATGTTCCTTCTAATTTTAGTTTTCAAGTGGCTTTCTAAGGCTAAATTGGTGTAGCTATAAAAAATATTTTTAAATAATCTAAAATTTATTCTAAAACTCATTCAGTTTTCTGGTGAATAATTAAAGCAATTTTATAAAATTATCTGCAGTATAGAGTCTAAAATCCGCAATCGTTGCGACTTTGGTTAGTCCGGATTTTGGAAATTTTGGGAGTATAAAATTAAAAACATTATTTAGTAATATTTTTTAAGAAAGAAATCTTTTGCTTAAAGAAAAGTTTTTTCTGAATCACCATCATGTGAAATTAAAATGCGACTTGAAGCTGCAGAGGTGATATTCTCTGAATTTAAAACCATACTACAGATATTCACCATTCCATTTATTGACTGATGATTGAAGCATTTCCAGACCATAAACATAGACCTAAAATCAGTCATCATCAGAAATAAAATTTTCATTCATTTCATTGTCATCTGGCAGTACTGATGCCTCATCATAGGGATAATATTTGGTATCTGAATTGTTTGAATCATCAGATTCGGTGTTTCATAAATAATCATCTTCTACCCTATCTAACAAATTGGAAACACTGCACTTTCAAAAAGGTTGTCACCTTTACTTTCTTCCCACATTTGTATTCTGAAGCCATAACAGTTATAATCAAATGGAACAACCTTTAGATTTCCTTTTGGAGTAAAGGTTTTTTTCTCCTTCTATCATTCACTTAGTCTATTCTGAGTGGATTTCCTTTCCATAAATTGATTATGACAACTGACAGCACCCTTAAAATCTGTCGTATATTATTAGGTTTAGCCTATTTAATAACTTGAATGCATATTGATTGTGAATGACATTGTAGCCCTTAGTTGATTTTCTAATATCTGTTGCAGTTAGAAGAGGAAATGGAAATCTGGCCCAAAACACAGGGTTCGTAGCGGTCCTTATAAGTGCTTATAAGTCCTTATATTTGAAAATAAAATATAAAGGCCCTAATAGGTGCTTACTTTTTCTTTAAAGCCCTTATTTTTTGTTTTTAGTGCTTATTTTTTGCTTTTAGTGCTTTTTTTTTTTAATGAACGCCCTATTTTTTCCCCGTACCAAAGCCGAAACTAAAACAACTTTTCTTCCTAATATGGAATGTCAGATGGTGAATCATACTCCCGGAAATAGCTTTTCCCCCTTTCTCTGCATTAACATAACCTTTGGTGTGCACGAAGAGTACAGACAGCTGCCCGTCGTTCTATTGGTCAAAGAATTGTGAAAGCAGTAGAAAATTCCGGTACATTCGGCATTCTTTTCCTCCCAACCAAATACTACACACGTTTGAATTTCTATTAAGATCTTAATAATCTGCTTTCTCCTTCCGCATGGTCATTTCATATTTATTATGATCATTATGCTTATATTATGAGCATATGTATGAATGTTTATAATAACATAATTACAGTAACTGCTGAAGTATATTAAACTTCCAAAAATGGTTGTGCTTTCACACAGATTAGCTTTCTAAGGAATAATATTCAGAATGGCTTAAATAAAGGGAAAGTAATCGAATAGTCAAAATAATTTCATTCTATTGGCCAATACATTATACAGTACGAAGATTGGGAGGTTCTCCCCTTTCTCCGCAAAATCTCGAATATTGAAACTGTTACAGTTCGCTGCAAAACAAGCAACAGACTTTTTTTTTTTTTTTTTTTTTTTTGTCACTTTCCAATCTGGAGACTAAAAGTTCTGCGGTCTACCAACCCAAGCGAAGAATGATTCTACTCTGGAAATTTAATGCCGTCTGTTGAAAATTAGAATGAAAAACACCCCAGTCATTTAGTTCTTTATTCTCCCAATACCGGCAGCTGTTGATTCCAATTGCGTAATATCACGTAGGGAAGAATTGTGGCACACGTATTGTGCAATACGTTTGCAATATTTTGCAGAGATAATTAATTTTGATGTTCTGTCCGAGATTTGTTTATAAACACTTAAAAGAGTTTTACTGTGCTTGTTAAGCAGAATATTTTTCAGTTCCATTGGTTTATTTTTATATGATGCACATATCGAAATGTCAAAAGCATTTATTTAGCGGAAAAATCTAAAGAGCGGCTACAGTCTACCCCCCTTCCCTCCGCACCCCTTTTTCAAGTTACACTTGACTGTCCGAATATTCGCTAATTTCCAAGTATGCGGGTTGGTTAAGCTTTTACTGTTAAAGGATGACTGCATGAAGCAAATTTCTGTCTTCTGATTTCAGAAATGTTCCTCTTTTTTACTTAAATTACTTTGCTTGCAATATCTGTTAAGGGAAAACTGATATACAATTAAAAATTAGAAAATGTTCAGAATTTAGATTTGAATTAGTTAAATATCGATATAAATTGTATTTATTATTAGGTTCCAAGCGAATACAATAAATATGCCTTATTATTATTATTTTCTGTATTTTGAACTAAAATTTCATCATTAAATCTTGTAATATAGTTTAGTTCTGCATAGTGTGTTTCTCTCATTGCAAACTAGTTCTGTAAATTGAACTGTTATTTAAAATTTTTTAAAAAAAAGTAATTATTTTCCATGGTTGAGGTAATGCTTATTCTCTCTTAATAAATACTGCATTTCTCATATTTTAAATTACAAGTCTATTTTTTAAGGTTATGCAGTTGTGTATAATGTAATTAGACTGGTGCTTATTTTTTTTTTTTTTTTTTCTTAAAATGTGCTTGAAAAGTGCTTATAGGTGCTTATTTTTTTAACTAAAATGTGGCTATGAACCCTGAAACATTTTCCTTTTCATAATGTGAATCTTGATTTTAGTACACTTTCTAATGTATCCTTTCTTCTTTCTTCCTACTCTTAAATAAATGTTATTTGAATTTTCTAGGTATTGTACAATTATTTGTTATAAAGGCATATCTGACCACTTTTAATGTAAAACCCACTTTATATTTAATCCTTTTAAAAAGAGGCATTTTTATTACTATTTATATTTTAATGAAAATTGCAAGCAAATAACAATTCAGAGTTCTCTTTTCTTGTATCTTTCTGTCATCAATATTTGTTTTCAAAGTGATGTCACGTTCTCTGTAATCTACAGCAGTGGTTGGAACATTTATTCATCCATGCATCCCTTTCACCATTGCTATCTGGTTATACTTCTACCTTTCCATTCCAAAACTTGAAAAATGCATATACATTTATATAAATTTAGATCGTTTTTTAATGTGTTTCATGATTTAAGCAAGAAATATTATGGAAAATGTTGATAAATATCAAAACTTGAATAAAGTAGTTTTTATATCCATAAAATAAAACAAAATACTTAGCAGGTGAATAAAATGTGACAGCATTTCCCCCCTTAAACTATAAAATTCACCTCTATGGTGTAATTTCTCTCTAGTTAAGAACCTGATGTCTATGGCACATATATGAGCACATGTGGAAAATAACAAAAATGCATCTGATGGCATGTGTTCAAGACCTTGTTTTGCTTTTTAGGTTTTACATCTTCCAAAATTTTTTAATGAAGAACTGCATTACATTAAATTCTGTTGCATTTAAACACTTTTAATTAATTAATTAATTAATTTTTAAAGAAACTTGTGACATTATAAAAGGGCATTCTACTTTTAAAAAATTGAAATCGTTGATCATCAGTAAAAACTTGAAGGTGTACTTATGTACTAGATATTCCTTAAATTAATTATTCTTAATTTAAAATCTTGCAGTTGGCTTATAAGGAAAATGTATGGAAGAAAATTTTGAATGGTTCCAGTCCTCCAAAAGTGTCTATAAAATCATACTAATAAAACTTAAGTTTGGAATAACATTGAAAGAAAGCTTCATGTGATAAGTTCTAAATAACACACATTTAACACATGAATAATGACATTCCGATGTGAAAAAGGAACTGCTGCTTCATGCACGCCATTCTCTCCTCCATCACTCATCAGAGGCAGGCATGCGCAGAACTCACAAAACTTCATACAGTATTCCCAAGGCAACAGCACAATGGTATGAAAATAAAATGATTAAATTTGTAAGCATTTTGGTGATTTACAAGGGTGCAAAATTAGTAGAAACTCATTCATTTGTAACTCATTCTGTGCTGCTTCAATTCTATGCCACACTTCGTCAGTCGTAAGGGGGGTCTGAAGAGGGGGGGCGAGCCAATCTCTTAGCAACCCATTACCAGATATTTTCAGTGGCTGACAGATCTGGATACTGCAGAGGCCAGGGCATCAATCGAATAATCTATCGAGGAAGATCAGAACATGACATGCAAAATATGGTCTTGCATTATCTTATTGGAACATGGCGTTTGGGGATCTTGAAGATAGGGCATAATCACTGGACATAAGATGTCAGAAATGTACCCATCTGTGTTCAAATTACTCTCTATCCAAACTAGTGATGTGCATGTCATATACCCAATGGCTGCCTAAACCATCACACTAGGTGCAGAGACCCTATGCTGGTATCAAATGCAAGCAGGGAACATGCAGTCTCCTCGGACACTCCAGACATGTATACGGCCATCAGAATACAGCATATAGAACCAGGACTCATTTGAAAAGCTGACATTGTGCTGCTCCTGTATCCAGCTTTGTCATTTGGTTCACCAGAGTCTTCATCTCTCTCTATGCTGCATTGTCAAGGGATCCCGAAGTAATGTCATCCTGTTGATAGTCCATGCTGCTGCAAACATTTACACACCTTACAAGATGATACTGGGCATGCTGAAAACATGCCCATTTCCTGACTAATGATCCGTGGTACATTTTTGCAGGGCTGACCTCGCAATATGTCTGTCCTCTCTGACATTAGTTATAAGAGGGCTTTGAGATCCTGCATGCCATTCAGTATGATCCTCAGCAAACCATTAATTCCATATTCGCATGACAGTGGTTTGATGTCGACCAGTGTGACCAGCAATATTATGGAATGATAATCTACACTTTCGATAGGCAACCATCCTGCCTCTATTGAATTTCGAAACTTGCTGGTAAGCATATCCTTTTCTTATTCGGGGTATAACACAATATTCTGAGTAAACTCCAACCTTACAGACCACTTTCCAAATGAGAAGTCCACTACAAAACTGTTTTTTTATGCAGTGCTTCAGATATCTTTTCTCCCTCCTGCATTGTCTAAATGTGCTGAAATACTAATCATTTGCGTATCACAACTTCTTTTTCATGTCATGTGATTTTGATGTTTGTCAGTTCTTTCCTTCCTGGTGTTGCAGTTTTGTTGGCCAGCAGTGTAATTAAAGGTATATTTTATTTTTTAATATTAATGTGTTGAATTAATGTAGGTCGCCAATCATAATGATTGCCTTGGGTGCTCTGAAAATGGACTGACAGTGATTTCCTTTCTAAAATTGGGAAGATAGAAGTGAAATGCAGTGACAAATGTGCACTGAGCTTAAATACTGAATATCGGATAGTGCAAAATGTACTTCATATGCCACTGGAAAGCATGGACACAGACTCTCTGATAATTTCATATGATCAGTAATAGACATAGTAATTTGTACTGGCATTGTACTGTAATGACCTGTTGGCATAGTCACTTGACACATGCTAAATTTGTGTCAGTCATTACATTTTTATACAATAATTTAGTTAAATGCACCATAGTTTTTGTGCCTGCATGTCCAAGCGTTAAAATTTATTGTACGCTGAGGGTAATCTCTTTGGGGGGGGAGGGATTAAGATTTACTAATCTTGGTCTTTTTTAAAGAAGTAGCATTATAAATCATGGAGGAAAACTTGTAATTAAAATTTTTCTATCCTATATTTTTATTCAGTATTTAGAAATAAATTCATAAATCAAAGATAATTTATTATAAAATTTTTATGTAGGGCTACAAATCCATTCATTCAAACGTTTATGAAAAATCGTGGATTTGGTGACAATTATGCTTTATTAGAACAATACTACATGCAAAAGTAAGTAATCTGATTACTTTAGAATATCAATTTACGTCAGAATTAAAAGTAGCACAATGCATATTTTAAAAAAATATAAGTTTAGTTTTTTGGAGTTCTGTGAATTAGTTTTTTTGTTTATTTTCAGTTTACATGACTTCAGAGTAAAAATAAAAACTGTAATAATAAATTATTAGTCTAAAGGGGGTCTCTGAAAAACTATTGTTTTTGTTTTGCAATTTTGTGTTGAAAATTTTAAAAGGCTGTATCACTTTTTCAAGTCATTGCCACCAAATACTATCGCCCTGTATTATATTTGAAAAAATTAAATCATAAACAATCTGCATAAATGTATGTTTCTCACAATGTAATAAAACAACGGTACCTAGAGCCATCCAGTTTTGAATGACGTAATCCTACTGTGAATATGGGCATCTGAAAGCCCAAATTTGAAATTTAGAAATTGTTTTATTATTGATTTCATATTATGTAAAACTTTAACGAATTTTTAATTAACTAACTCAACGATTTAAAAGTGAGCAATGGCAACACTCTAGGGAGAGACCCGTTTATCTCCAGTGCACAGAACTGTGTATCGGAAATTCTAAAGATATGCTTATTTTAAAATAATTTTGCGACATTGCTGTTGAACTGATTTTTATGGTTTAAGTGCAAAGAACACGATATTTAATAAATAAAGGTAACACACAAAATGTTGAACACGATGAAAAAGCCCCTTTGAACGCAATTTAAAATCTGAAACAATTCGGATTTAAAAAAAAATTTTAAGAATTTTCCCTTTAAATTTTAAAATTATTTTTGTCTCTGTAACTGAGTTAGCATAGCATTTGGATATATCATTCATGTTTAATTTGGGATAGAGTTCTTTTTCAAACCAATCGTATATATATATGTCATAAACACAAAATTTAAAAGTACTGATGTAGGAACACCAAGACAATAAAATGTAATAATAGCAAGAAAAAAACTGAAGCACTGTTCATGCCTAATACCCAGCCAGGATAGATCGTCAATCCATATTGAAGAGGAAGAATTTTGATTGCATAGTATTCTAATGTGTTGAGATTGTAATATCTAAGAAATTTGGCAGTCGAGGCAGTTTTAATTCCATTTTTATTTTCCATTTGACGTTTGTAGCCACAATTCACTTGGCATCCTAGTCGTGCATATTCAAGAATATTTACATTTTTGATGTTATTGCGACAGCAAGCAAAACAGCAAAAATACATCCTAGCAAGGTAGAGAGTGAAGCTGAAATGCATAGTTATGGAAGATGGATGCACACAAAGAGAAAGGTTTTGTTTTGAGTTAAGAGTTTCAGTTCCCAATTATTACATCTTCAGTGCTGCACAGGCCATGCAAAATGGGCTGATCTAGAAATGACACAATCCAGAGAAGTTATTACGGTTTTTAAAACAGAGAGGGAGAATAAAAAAGTTACTGTTAGTTTAAATTATAATTTTGACTTACATATTTTTATCTTGCATATGTCTGCACAGCATGTGTCTGCTGTTATTAACAAAATTAAACCTTTTGCAATTTTTAGATTATTATTTGGCTGATGAATGTCACAGGCACTAATATTAAATCTGAAAACAGTAGCCTTCAGATGCTGAATTTTAAACTGGAAATTCTAGTTATAGTTCTGTTGTGTAGATAACTGTCTATTTTATGCATTTTTTTCTTTGAAAGTCTTCTTTAAAGATAAAAACAAATACATATATTGAGATTTGCAACCTTCTTGTATTTAAAAATAAAAAAGTGCAAGATCTGAAATTTTATTGAGAGCTCCTTCACCAGTCTTCTTCGGGATAACCTGTATTGACCTGTATTGTTCCTTTATAGAATATTATTAAACTGTCAGAAAATAGAGTGGAAAGAGAAAGAACAAAAAATGAATCATTGCTGGATGAGTTCACAGTTGAGGTCTGACCTTGCCTACGAGATTCCATGAGATGATGACCAGCATATTACTGATATAATATTGTTGCATTTTTATGATTTGAAGAAAGTTCTCTTATTTAAGTGCTTTTGAAATTTATTAATCAGTTAGATTTACAGATTCTTCAGTTTTGAAGCTTTGTAAATCAGCTAAAAGTTTATATATTTATTTTTAATTGGTTTATAGTTAAATTAATGGTTTTGTGACCCCTGCCTTAGCTTGCTCATCCCTGACCTATGGGATATTTTCTTAATGAAATGTATTAGTTTTTTTTTTTTTTTTTTTTTTTTTTTTTTTTACACAACAAAACCATTGATTCATTCATGGTTTTGTTGAATTTCTTAATTTGTATTTTGTACAAATTACAAAATTTTAAGTATTTTTGGATATTTTTGACTACTACACTGTAATTTCTAAATTTAGCTGTTATTTTTATGGAGTTTAAGCACGGATAGGATTTAAATAATTTAATGAATGATTTGTTTAAATAGTGATAAACATAATTATCTAAATATACTATTTTTTAATGAATGTTGATTCCATTGTATATATTTTCTGAATTTAAAATCTTTTAAGAAGCTTGAGAATGTCTTCTAATTATCTGGTGAACTGATGCTTACTGAGATACCATCCCATCTCTGAACCTGAAAGCTTATTAACAGGTTAATGCTTTCTAGACTTGCAAAATGCCTCCTTCTTCTGTTGAGCTAGTGTGAAACTTTAAAAGACTATATCCTGTTCTTGGATTAGAATATTTTTAAATAAGGTGAAAAAAGGCTGGTAGATAGAGAGATAACCATATTAATTTGTTTTAATTAATTTTGTGTAATTAATGTTTTTGTTTTAATTTTGTTTTGTTTTTAATTAATTTTGTTTAACTAAATTAATTTGTTTCACTTTCGAGGAAATGGGAAAGTTTTCATGATGTGTAATTGAGAGGCAATTTCCATATAGGCTTATCGTTGAAAATCAAGATACACGATTTTAACGTGTATTTTGCTTGGATTATTAAAATGTGATGTGTAACTGGAAGAGCTACATAAATAAGAAATATATTATACCTTAATTTTTCACATGAAATATAATATTTTGCATGTTAATTTATATATATATATATGCACATGTATGTACGAGGGGTGTTTTTTAAGTAACGGCCGTTTGAAAATAAAAACCAAACGAAAGGAAATTTTTAAGAATCAAATTTATTTTCAGAGTCTACATACATTTCTCTATTTTTCAACATAGTTGCAAAGTTTGTTTAAACACTTATCTTGCCTTAGAACAAGATTTTGAATACCTTCTTTTTAGAAACTTGTTACCTGCTCCAATAACCAAGAGGTTGTGGCCGTTTTCACATCCTAGACTACACACTTCAGGAAATTTGTTTGAAAGAGTGCTTATGGTGAAACTTCTGTTCTCAAGAATTTTTGCTTCAATTGAAGCCACCATATTGTCTGGGATCACACATGGGCAACTGGAGCGTGACTCATCAGGAATGTTGTTGCGCCCAGTTTGATGTCTCTGACCCACTTATACTCTTTGCTTTCACTCATGGCAGTAGCTCTGTAGCCTTTACAAATCTGTCAGTGAATGTCTGCAGTAGCCAAGTTTCTTGCCAACAAAAAAAAAGTATCACCAACCGTACATCACACGAGGTGGCCTATTTCAATAATCTTAGACATTTTAAAGACACAGAACAGACTGTACAGGTTATATATAGAGCTGTAACTGAGCACGATTGTTTCAAAGGAATTCCGGAACATGATGCAAGCACTCATTGCCGCCTGTGTGAGATGTACTAGTATATGCAACAAAATGGCCCTTACTTAAAAAACACGCTATGTATATTTAAAAATTTTACGTAAACATATTAGTAATATCGTAGTAAATGTAGCAGAAATAAATATAAAAATTATTCATTAAATACTGCATAATAGCATAAAAAATGTATTTTATTTGGCATATTTACACCCCTCTGACACTCATTTTCTTGGAAGTAAAATAACCATTTTCATTCATTAGCTCCATTTTCTGAATATTCAAAGCTATTTCTTGCAAATCTTTTCCAAACTGCTCATGAATAAGCTAGAAAAAGACTGGGGAATAGAGAGAGGTTACCATCGTTTTTGAATTAATTTCTTGATATGGATTTATTGTGCATAAGATTTTCTCTTTTATGGAAAAAAGCAAAGCATCAATTCAGATATATTCAAGATTCAATAAATAAAAATTGGATTAATTCACTTCTCAAAAAAATAAATAATAAAAATACAGTTTTGATTGGGTATCAGTTTCGAAAAATATATTCCCATATTCATTTTGATTTACCTTCAAATTCCTAGTTTCGACAAACATTTTGATTAACCGAAGTTCAAGTAATTGAAATTTTAATATGTAGGTCAGTCAGGAAGTTATTTGCAGTTGTACCTCATCGTAAAAAAAATTCTGTTAAGGTCTATTTTGATGAAACTGTCTAGCAACACATCAGACATTTATCTGTATCATGTGACAAAGCGGCTTCCATGAGGCAATTTTACTTTATCCGATAATCAGTAGTAAACATATCTCAACAGCTGCAAGTGTCATCCAAATTGGAAATACATGCAGTGGGTCAAAAAGGTGTAACTGCTGTGAAATTTTTCGGCAGTTGCATGATTTTATGGTGAAAATGCATTGTCACATCAAGCTATTGTAAAGTGGTGCGACATTCTTGAGAATGGACATACAGACATTGATGACGCAGAACACGAGAGGAGACCAACTGCCACAAATTCTGAAATTGCTGCTCGTGTGAATAAATGCATTCTTGCAAACAAATGCATAACAATAGACGAAATCTCTAATGAACTAGATATTTCTCATGGAAGTCTGTATAAAATTATTGCCGATCAACTTCAATCTTCATAAAGTTTGTGCTCGAAGGGTGCCTCATCTACTGACAGAAGAGCATAAAGGGAAGCATTTTGAAAGTGCATTGAAATTACTGCAACTTTACCAAAAGGAAGGAAATGAGTTTGGTTACAAAATTGTGAGCGGAGATGAGTCTTGGATTCACCAATTCTCACCTGAAACGAAACGCAGCTCCCTCAAGTGGAAACATTCCAATTTCCCAACTAGGGAAAAAAGTGTCCAACTATTCCATCTGTGAGAAAGGTGATGCTGACACTATTTTTTGACAGAGAAGGTTTGGTGCTACAGAGTTCATGCCTAAGGGTGTCACAATTAATTCATAATCTTATTGTGAAACACTAAAACAATTGCAACAATCACTTAAAAATCATTGGCCAGGTAAACTCTTGAAAGGCATTGTGCTGAACTTTCAAAGTGACGATACCACTCAGATGATGAGGTGAAAGCTGCAACCCAAGAATGATTATTGGACATTAGACGGGATTTCTCTGCAGAAGGCATCGAAAAACTTGTATCACGCCTTGACAAATGCTTAAATAATGGAGGTAATTACATTGAAAAATAGATTTTTAATGGAACTTTTAAGATTCAAATAAAGTTATTGTAAAATTTCTATCCTGTTTTGATTTCTTAAGCAGTGCAACTACCTTTTAACTGACCCTCATGTATATTCACCATATGACAATTAAGTAATCAGTGTGTTTTAACTTACTGTACATTTAATAATATATTTAGAGTTGCTGTGCTAAATACAGAACTTTCCTTTGATATGCATTGAGTCTGTATTTAATTCATTGTTTTTTGTTTTGTTTTGTTTTGTTATCTTTTTCAGAGTATTTGTTTAAAGAAATGAGTATCAGACTATTTGCACATAAGTTTTCAAAATAAATTTATATTGTTTTATTTTAGCATGTTAATTTTTTAAGATAGTATATATTTAGGAACACATTATTATTTTTTTTTCTTTCAGATTGCTTGACATTGTAAAGTCTCTAAATAAAAGTTATATTGTTTGGCAAGAAGTTTTTGATAATGGAGTGAAGGTATATGTATAAATATATATCTGTCTCTCATCTTACAAATGGTCTGAAATATTGAGAAATTATTTAATGTGATTTTTTTATTTCGTATTTATTAAATTATAAGTTATGTTTTCAAATTATATTTTTGCTTGAATGAGCTATGTTTTCATTGGTAAATCTTTTCTTCTATTTGAACCTATGCTGTGGCAATTTTTCATAAAAGCAACTTTATCAAATCTGTAGCAATATTCTACTTTGAGAACTATTACCATGTAATAGATGGCACATAATTATTCCAGCATATTATACATCAATATATTTTTGCATTTTGAAGTTTTCTTTTGCACTGCCATTAGTTTTCAAGTAAACTTTACAAAAGAATTTAGATTATTTCCAGTTCATAGCTATGTAAACATTTTAATTGTTAAGATTTTAGTAGCATTATAATACTTTAGATAGCTTTATATGTCACATTAAATATCTGATACATTTTAAATATCTGCCAATGTTAATTTATATTAAATACATAGTTTATATTAAATAAATTGCAATATTTAATACAGTACAAAATCCAGGATCCGTAATCAGCAAGACTTCGATGATTCCAGATTTTGGAAATTTCTGAATTTTAGGTGATCGATTTAAGTATATTAAGATAACATGTAGAAATTATCTTTTAAAAATGTCTTTGATAATATTTTTCTAAGAAGGAGGTATTTTGCATAAAGAAAAGATTTTTTCTGAATCATCACCACATGGCATTAAAATGCAACTTGAAGCTTAAATGGCGATATTTTTTAGATTTAAAACCATATTACCAATATTCTCTGTTCTGTTAATTGATTAGTGATTGAGCCATTACCATCACAGTGTAAGACCACATTATGAACGATTAGCTTGTATATCACCTTTATTTAGCCTTTCATCTTATATTCCATTAATTGAAAAATTTCACTCATGATATGCAAAAAACCTTTAGATTCTCAGCTTTCATCATCGTCATGAAATTTGGTAACTGGCTGTAAATTATACAAAGGATTTTAAAAACAAAATCTGCATACATGTCTTTTCACTATCTTGCACATCATATTTTATATTAGAATATTTCTAGAATTCTTGAAGGATCTTATTGATGCATCAGTTTTTATAACGCTATTTTATATCTACATTTTACTGCACACAAAATTCTGATATTCTTTGGCTGATTGACTTTTAAAAATTTTTGGCCAAATTTGGCGACAAAAATTAGTTATCACCAGTTTGACAAGATAGCCTCAATATAAAATGGACTTGGTCTTGTAACCTTATTTTTCTGCACTCTATTGAAGCCTTTCATCGTATATTAAAAAAGAGATGCTACAATTCTACATATAATTTCACTAAAATTATTTACATATATGCAAAATTTGTAATGATATACTATTATAAAAATGCCTAGCTGCAGTAAGATAGCTTCACTGCAAAGTGAGTTTAGGGTTGCTAGATTTAGCGACAAAACTGGTGATATGCCATACAAGGAGCAAGAACATTGTAGAACGAAATTCTTACCGGCTCTCTAGAATGTTCTCAGAGGCAGGTCAAAAAGCTATACAAACCCTGCTTGTACGCAGAGTGCAGTGTATCTTGAGAGTGAGAGTAGAATATTGAGTTCAGTAGTAATGTTTTGAGTTTAGAGATTAGCTTGAGAGCGACCAAACTGAGTCAGGAAGCTGTCTTCACCGTTGTACTCCGAAGGCTGTGTTCCTATCAAAATTGTAAAAACAACCTTGTATTTAGCGTAGGTATAATGAAACACTCAATCGATTTCGAGGGCAGCTAAAGGTCCCTCCTCATCAGGAGAAAGAAATACCTAGAAAGAAGAAAAGTAAAGGGAAAGGAGTCTCAGAAACACGTGGTCCTTATCAGCACTGCACGTGGTTATAACTAGATTTTTAATCAGAGTTGCATTGGCCGCCTACTTATTACGAGCCAGTCTATCTGATCAAGCATGAAAAATTTGAGCGTGAAGGTGCAGTTTGCCTCTCGCTCCCTATTTTAAACTTCGCTAATTTTCTTGTACTTTGTGTTACATGTTTAATCAGATAGCCTGGCTCAGTAAAAGTAGGCGGGCCAGTGTAACTCTGATTGAAAAATCCGATTATAACCACGTGCAGTGCTGATAAGGAACCACGTGTTTCTGAGACAGCTTCCCCTTTGTTTTTCTTCTTTCTAGGTATTTCTTTCTCCTGATGAGGAGGGTCCTTTAGCTGCCTTCGAAATCGATTGAATGTTTTAATATATGACCTATGCCAAAATACAAAGTTGTTATTGCGATTTTTTGATTGTCACATTAGCGTGTTTCTCTTCTATTCTAGTCTGGCTGTGTTTCTGTTTGTTTGAACATATTTATCAACGGCTATAAACGTGTCTTTAGAACTCTCCTGTGTAATACTGGTGAAAAATTGTGTTTTAATTTTCAGCAATTATTGTCTTCAATCACTGTAAATCCACGAGCCTGTAGAATGTAACAATACATTACATTTCATAATAAATAGCTTTTCTTTCCCTCTTCTTTAATATATATATATATTTAATCCACAATTTGTATTTATTTTTCATCGGCGTTTTTTAGCACTATTACTTTCCTCCTGCTGTTAAGCCTCCTCTTTGTTATTATTATTTTAAACTTATTTTAACTTACAAAAACTTATTTTAAAAATAAAGCTCAAAAGGTACTGAAACTTTACAAATTATTATGTTTTTTGTGAAATTGATGGAGCTCTCCTATTGATAACAAATCATGTCATCTGCTCTGACTGTTCTAATTAGCAAAGTAGCTGAGAACAACTTAGATACAAAATCTCCCTGTGTAAACAAAATGCTGTCAGGTGACATGTCTGCAAAGGAGACTTGTTTGGATGTATGTCTCTTTGTGTAGATGGGGCTTTAGTGGCTAGTTTAAACTAGAAAAGACTAGAGTTTATCCTGAGAGTAATTTGAAATTTTATGATTTATTTTGTATGTTAGGGAGGAATTGCTAAATACCCACATTGTCCTTGAGTTATTTCCAGCTATTATTGTGTTTTATGTACTATTTATTTTACTTATTTTTCTAATAAATTGTTAATTTCTTTCTTTCTTTAATAAACTTAGAGAAGTTTATTAAAGAAACATATCGATCCTGTATTTCGCAATAACTTGTGTCAGAATTGGGGATTTCTTTGAATGCCAATAATCAAGAGGATGGAGGAACAACTGAAAGCTCTTTTGGAAATATTATCAGCCAACAGAGAAAAGCCAGTGAGATGAAAAAGGAAATAAAAGCAAATGCCACTGAGAGGAGGAAAGAAGCTAAAAAAATGAAGAACTCCATTGATGGAAATGAATTCCTTTGAAGCAAATGCCACTGAAATGAGGAAGGCAACAGAATTGAAAGAGAGTATTGCTGTGATCAAAGAAAAAATTGTCAGGCTATGCATGAGAAACTAGCAGCTGTAGAAGAAAAATTACAAAGAGAGATTTCTGCAGTGAACAAGAGATTGGAGAAAGATTCTAAGGAAGAACAGAAATTTTTAAAATTAGTTATTGATTAAGCTCGTGCTATATGACGGAAAGTCATCATGGAACATATATAAAGCACATTTCCATTTCTCAAGTAAATCAAAGACACTCTATAATGTTCATGAACATTTCTTCTGGGATAAAATCAAAGTAGATGTAGAAAAATCATGTGATGTACACATAGCTTCGAAAGACCTGCAGCATCGTTGATATAAAAGCATCATTGATGAGAGCAATGGATTTTCTCCACTGCAAATGATTTTTGACTGCAATCTTTGTCTGTTGTGTCACCTGCGCTTTGGATTACCACCAAACGTACCTTCTTTGCCTGAGAAATTCCTCAATGATAAGCAGGTGCCTTTACTGAAAATTCATCAGTTCATCAGGGGAAGAATCAACACAGCTACTGAGAAAATGAAGACGAGATTTGATACCATGCTAGTTTTTGTTTTTTGTTTTTTGTTGTTGTTGTTGTGTAGGGTACTGTTTTATTTATTTATTTTATATATTTATTGTTTTTATAATAGTAATTTTATGGGTTATTTTGTGTTTAGTGTAATATGTGGCCACATGTATTGTATTTAAGTGTTTATTTGTTATATAGAATTAGATATCTTTCAGTTGAGTGCATTGGCTTTGGAATTTTAAAAATTATTCAGTAAGAACTAGAGATATAGGCAATTTTGTTTCTAAGGGACCTTGTTGACAGTTTTTGCACTAACTTGCCAATGTTTTGTGATTTCTTGGCAATTAGAAGTTTTGCAAAAATACATTTTTTAATCCTTCTGACCAATTATTCCAGAAGTTTCCAAAGTCTATACTGCAGGATATACCGTAATTTCCGGAAGAAACGTTGCAGCGTTTACGTGTTTAAAACTTAAATTTTCAGTAGGTGCGGTGTTTCTACCCATGCAGCGTTTTAGGTGCACTAAAAATAAAATATTTTCCTATGATGGTCATTGTACATAATTTGAATAACCTTGTCATTGTGCATAGTTTGGATGGCCTTGTCATTGTACATAGACTGGTGCTGTTCCCACACAAAAGACCACTCAGTTGCTTTTTGCCAACGTTATTTTGTTTATATTCTTTCCCTTGAATGGACCTGCATGCCTTATTCACCCTAAACAGGATCTCAGTAACAATAACATTCTTCCCCCTTTCAAATCAGCATTCTCATCAGTTTTGAATAATTTCTCTTCTCTGCCATTCGAGGAATCTATCTTCATGGATCCCATTCTCTCCCCACCCCTGCCATTGTAAATCTACTGCAATTTTTTCAAAGGCGGACACGACACACCTGCGTTACAATAACGGAACTTCTGAGGTATTTCCCCTTCAGCATGAATCTGATTTTTCTTAGGCATTCTGCCAGAGACAGCTCCCATCAGTTTCAGGTGTCAAGTACTTGTTGCATTGTTTTTAAGTAAGAAGAGAGCGGAAAATTTTTTGAAAGTGGCACCTAAATGCAGCACAGAAGTTATACTGCTGGTTTTAAGCTTGATGTAAATTTCACGTGCTGAAACAAATTGGAAATAGAGCAGCAGCTCGAAGAATTTGAATTGGACGAGAGATGCATTTGACGTTGGAGAACAGAAAAAGAACTTAAAAATGTGCCAAACAGAAAAGAACTAAAAGAAGTGGTACTGTAAGGTGGCCAAATCTAGAGGACGACCTTGCAAACTGGGTAAAGGAGCAACGAGGAAAGGGAATGGCAACTTTGACTGTAAATATTCGCTAACAAGCAAAATTTATGGCAAAACAAATGAACATAAATGATTTCAAAGGATGGCCTTGCTGGTGTAGCATATTTATGAAAAGAAGAAATATTTCTGTGCATACTAGATCAACAATTGGGCAACAATTACCAGTGAACTGGCAGGATAAAAAGTCATCTTTTCTAAAATCTGTGACAAATATTATTGACACACACACACACACACACACACACAAACAAAACAAAAATAAAAACAAAAAAACTCTCTTCCATTGAAGATAATAAATATGGATGAAACGCTGTTAGATTTTTCGACTCTCCTACAAACAGAACTGTTGATGAAACTGGTGCAAAAACTATTCTGTGCTTACGACGGGGCATGAAGAACATCATTTACATGTGTGTTAGCTTCTGCTGCAAATAGTGAGCTAAAGCCGATGATCATTTTTAAACAAAAAATTATTCTGAGGGAGATTTTCCTAATGATGTAATTATTTGTGCAAACGAGAACAGCTGGATGTGCGAAATAATCATGCATCAGTGGCTACAAAAAGTTTGGCAGTGTCGTAAGGGATCTTTTTTCCAACCAAAAGGGTTACTGACAATGGATTTGATGTGTGCTCACTTTACTTGAGTCAATGAAAAACCAGATATCAAAAAATTGTCTACGACCGTAGCAATAATTCCTGGTGGTTTGACACAAAATCTTACAACCATTAGATTTGTCAGGTAATAAATCCTTCAAAGCTGAAGTCCGAAAACGGCTTTGGGAGTGTTGGAATGAGTGAAAGATTGCATACGTATACCAAAAGCGGTAAAATTGTGTAGAAGCATCTTATGAAGAAGTTGCACAAGTGGGTAGGAAGTTCATGGAAATCAGTAAAAAAAACATCGTCAATAATAGCAGGGTTCAAAGAAGCGGAAATTATATCCTTAGATAAAGAGACTGTAAACGAAGAGGATGAATGTGACGATCTGGAAGACTTGGACTTAGATCAGATTTACTAAATCTTTTTAATTCAGATTAGTGAAGAATCCAGATGTTTGATGGCTTCATATGATGTATAGGTTGCTGTAATTCCTTTTGTAAGTAAAATTTAAAATTTCCTTTTGTCATCCAAATTTAATATTTCATTGTTGCAACATTTTTTATCATATAGTCTGAGTATTACAAATATGGACTTCTTTAGTGGGTAAATATGGGTATATTCATGAACGTAAATATATTTTCAATATTTCTTACCTTTAATTTATTTTTGAGTTATTGTTTCATTTCATGCATATTTCTTAACTGATATGTCATATATCAGGACACATGTTGAGATTTTGCATCTATACGGCCCACGACGATGTCACGTGCAATTTAATCTCTTGCGGCGTTTATGCTGATGCGGCATTTCTATGTAATTTTAGTTTTTTTCCCACTATTTTTCTCAAGTGCGGTGTTTTTGCTGATACGGCTTTTCTTCCGGAAATTACGGTAAGTATGGATTAAAGAGCTAGGGGAGTCCAGTTTGCAATCAGTTGCAAATCAACTATGAGACTTTCTGGTTAGCTGAATTATGAGGTTATCCTGAATGTTATTTGAATGGTTATAACAATTAAGTGATACTAAATATTGAATCTAATGCAACTGAAATATACAACATAGCCATAAAATGTCTTATATGGCCTCTATTTTCACTACTTTTGTTTGCAGATATATACATCTTATTACAAAAATATTTTAAATGAAACAAATATTCATGTTTGTGCATTTTTAGATTAAAAATCAGTTTAGTAAATATTATGAAATATAACATTTTATACATTTCCCTGGTCCTTTTGTTATATTTAACACGTTGAACGCCACGCGTATTTCTTAGGCAATCCCGTTCAGGCCATGCGCGCCGCTTAAAAAAGTGCTGGTATTGTAGGGCCAGTGATTACGTTTGGCCACAAATTATAGTAGACTACAACATACAAAAGGCAGCTGTCGACTTATCCAATCAAATGAATGCCTACAGCAATCTGTTACGTAAGACCATAAAATGGAATCAAAAACTAGCCTTCCAATTGTTACTAAATAGTACGGTTGTAAATAGTTACATTCTATAAAAAGATATTACGAAGCAAAAAATTAGCATTACTGAATTCCGGAAAGAATTAGAGCTATCCCTTACAAATTGTGAAAAAGAAGACATTCCATCAAACAGAAATGCAAGAATATCTAAAAAACGACAACAACAACAAAAAAAAAAAAAAAACTTCAAAGGAAACTGGAGAAAGCCTCTGAAGTATGTAAGTATTGTAAATTATGTTATGATAAAAATGCAACAGAAGCTGGTAGAGTAATGTCCATAAAAAAGAGAGTTGTCACAATTTGTAATAGCTGTAATGGAGAGCCGTTTTTATGTTTGCTGTGTTTCAATGAAATTCATTAGTCCTGTAATGAATCAAAATTAAGTAAATTTTAAATAAATTTTCTGTAATTCCATAAAACAGTGTAAATTTTATAGTTATGTATCATATTACACGCTGTCAGCCAGCGGCGGTCGACACGGCCTAAACGGAAAGTCTAGTGTCAGCCACAGATGGCTGACGTGGCCGCTCAATGTGTTAATAAAAGTTTTTCAGAAGTAAAACTCAAAACATTTGACTCTGTAGAATAAAAATTGACCGAGATATTTAGCTTCAAAATTTGTGATTTCTGCCATTTCTTTTCTCTCTGTAATGTCATTAAAAGTTTTCCTTTGTTATTTACTAGTGTGCAACATTCTTTAATTGATAATTTTGTTAAATTTTGGGAAGTCAGAAGAATTTTCGCATACGTTTCATTTATGTAAATAATGTTTTGAATTAGCTGTATACTTATATCGAAGCCTGCCACTGTTTTCTAGAACATGAAAACTAGATTCCTAGCTTCTGTAAATATGATATCCAATTTGAAAAAGAGAAAAAAGTTCTTTTGATTATCATTTTTCATAACAATCTGCATAATAATGCTCAGAAACATTTTCGAAACTGATATTTCATTTGTTAACATAAAGTAGCAACCATTTCTCTCTTCAGTTTGTGTATAACTTCAGAAAATGATTGCGAACTTTGAAATTGAATATCTCAATCAATTTTTGTGTTACAGAAGTCAAACATTTATCTGTTTTACTTTTTAGAATGAATGTAAACTTTTGGTAAATATACCTATAGAAACTTGAGCCATATAAAAACTTGCATTTTATAACTTTTACAAAACTGGTTTTTTAAATTTAAAAATACCAAATATAAATATTTTCCTTATTTAAATAATTTTTTCAACAACTGTAAAAATAAAGGCCGCATACAAACTTTTAAGAACACAATATATATTCTCTAACAATATTATTTTAAATGTACTTTTAAGTTAATTAAATTAGCATGTAAGCTTCCAATATGTTGATGTTTCTTATTTCTAGTAGATAAATGTAACTTAAAATCTTAAGATATGTTCTGTTATATTTAGGTAAAACCAGATACTGTCATACACGTCTGGAAAGATAATTACAAGTCTGAACTTGCTAATGTTACAGCAGCTGGATTTAACACAATTCTTTCATCCTGTTGGTATCTGAATTATATAAATTATGGCAATGACTGGACAAACTATTATGCATGTGATCCTTATGATTTTATTGGTAAGAAATTAGTTCCTGTATATAATTTTTCGTTTACATCATTTTATATTTTATTTGTATATTTCCTGGTGTGTTTTATTGCTTTTAATGTAGTTTTGTAATTTCATTTGTAATGAAGTTTCAATATTTACTTCTGATAATATTTAATAAGTAATTTCACTTATTAATAATTTATAAATTGTTAAAGTAACCTTGATTATATTTTTAGCATTTCATTAAGTTATACTTCTGTATAATGTCTTGCATATTCTCCTGTGATACTGCTGCTAAAATTAATAAAACTAATTTTATCAAACTTCTAATGAACCAAATACTGTTAACAGTTGAATATAGTAAAATGATAAATTCTAGAAACATAGTATGTAGAATATTAACTTGGATAACTGTAATAGCCTTTGCATAGTGAATGAGGCTATTGTGGTTGTCATTAGAGTTATAGTTTATTAGGAGAATTTCCTTTTTTACATCATGATAAATCTTGATTATTAATTTTTCATATATATTGAAATATAAATACTCTTTATAGAAATTCTCCAGTTTAATACTAGGCATTTCATCTTTTATAAAATTTCTTTATCAGCGAATTTCTCAAACAAGAAAGAAATTAGAAGTTGTGACACTCTAATGAATGTATCTATAGTACGAATAATTCTTCAGTTCAATGAAGCATTGCTTATTAGAAATATATATATATATTAAAAAGTAAACTCTACCGATCTTGAATATTTTGTTTGTTCTTTTAGGAAATCAGCGTCAAAAGAGTTTGATTATTGGTGGTGAAGCTTGTATGTGGGGAGAATATGTTGATGGATCCAATGTTATTTCAAGAACATGGTGAGTTAAAAAAAAAAAAAAAAAAAAAAAAATAGAAAAAGAAAGAAAGAAAAGGGGGGAAGTTTATTTCTTGAAAAATTTTAAACTTTTTCCTCCAACCCTTCCCAATATTTCCAATGTTAAATACACTGCCTTCCATACTGCCTTGTTTTTTGCTTTCGAACTCTGCTGAATACAACACGCAAGTTGGTGAGCTCTCTTTTGGGGCTATTTTTGGTTGTGGAATCCTTTTATACAGTGTTTTGAATGATATTTTCTTAAATTGTAGATGTTCCGATGCATGTTTATATATTTTCTGTGTTCTTATATGCATTATTTTGGATTTTATAAACAATCTTACTTTTAAGTGTAGGCCTTGATGTGGCGGCGACTGAATGCTTTCGACGTTCTTTTGAATTTTAGGTCCTATGAAAATAACTTTCAAAGTACTTTTATGATTCTACATGGTTTTATTTACCTACAAATTTATTTGCATGGATTTTCGCACTGTTTTTATGAATGTCTGAAACTTTGAAATGAGATAAGCTTTGCAAGGAGACGGTTTGTTTACATTTAAAAGTTGTCTTGCAGCTATATGAAAACTTTTTGCCTTTCAAATTTTATTGTGTTTTTATGTAAGGGCATATTTCTACATATTTTCAAATTTTAATTGCTCCATGACTATGTTAGTGCATAAATGTGTTTAGTTTAAGGATTTTACTTAATTTTTACTGAATTTATAAAATTTTAAGTACGAAATTTTGGGTTGAAATTTATCTTTATGTATTGAATTGTTGTTTCTGTCCCATTGCCGACCTGATAAGATGTCTGAATCTAAGAAAACTACTACTGAGTGTGAGAGAGAATTTGCACATGACTATACAAAATATGATATCTTTAATACGATATGAGATATTAACAAAGTAGTTTAAACGTTGAAAGAAAAACATGTTTATAAAGGTTTAATTGAAACTTTGAGTTCTGGTATTAACAAGATCACAGAATGGATTACGCTAAAGAATTTGGAACATGTTGAAATGCAAAGGGATCTACATAAGGAAGACAAACTGGATTTTATTGCCAAAGAAGTTTGTGAGATTCGTGATCTAATAAATCACGAGAAACTGACAATGTATAGAGAAAGAGGTGATGAAAAGTCAAGTGAAACATACAATTATAAGAAGAATGAAGATACAGATTCCTGGAGAAATAAAGAAATCATCTTAAAGCCCCTCAAGGAAGATATCAATGTATATGATGAAATAAAAAATAATATTGATAAAAAAAATTTGGAATCGGTGTTGTAGGTTCTTTTTGCAGGAAAAATGGGGATATGGTAGTCAGACTAAAGAGCAGAAAAGAATGTAGAAAATTGGAAAAAGCGCTTATTGATAATGAAAAACTTAATCAACTTGTAACACCAAAATGTAGAAAATTTATATGACCTAAGGTTATTATTTACAATGTTTCTAATTTCCTTTCAGACGAAGTATAGTCAAACACCGAAAATCCCCCGACCTGAAATCCACGTTTTTCTCAAAATATAAGCATTCAGTTTATAGGTTCTGGAAACTGCAACATTGAGTACGAAATATCGAAGAAAAATACTTACTGAATAATGACATCATAATTACCGAATAATAATGATTCATAACGGAAATACCAAATTATTGACATAAAAAAGTTAAAAGAATAAAATAAAAGTTTTTCTTCTCTAATCTCTGCATCGAGATAAAAAAGCAGATAATTCACTCAACTCTTCGTTCAAGTTCACAATTCACGTTGTTATATTTTCTGAGCTTTGTTATTTCACGAGATTGTTTAGTGCTGCCTTTTTTTTTATCCTGATATTTTGTGGATAAATTAAGCATATTTTAAATTTCAGCCCTGTTTAATAGAATGACAGATAAGAAATGCACTTATGATTTTTACTGCTTGCAACGTTGGAAAACGTAAACACGTTGCATTGATGGCAACGCAAAAAGTGCAAATTCTGCAAAAGATGCAGGCAGGAGCTACTCCTTGATTTATAGCAAAATGGTATGGAATTGCTACTGATATATGGACAAATAAAGAAAAACTGTTGAAATTTTACAGCAACAGTGATTCTAACACCGGAATCTGAAACCGGAAATCTTTGCATGAGGCGAAATTGGCAAACCTCGATGCTGTGTACATATAATACAGTGAGTAATATAATCAATTTATATATGTAATAATAATTTAATACATATAATAAATTATTGCAATAATGTATATAATAATTTAATGCAATGTATTTAATATGCCTGATTTATTTTGCACTTTTAGTCCGAATATTATGCTTTATCTTTTCTGACCTAAAATCCGCAAAATCCTAAAATCTGGTCCCAAGCTTTGCAGATTTCTGGACTTCTACTGTACTTATAGAGGCATTAAAAATTGAATGCTCATGTGGTGCTGACTGTGTTTGTCCATTGTTTAAAATGAAAGCCACAGAACAGGAAATATCGCATAGAGTTTTTCATGTTTCATGAGAGTGTCAAAATTTTATTTTGGAGGATCAGAGAATAACAATCAGTTGGAAATCTTATTCTGTAAAATTATATATTCATCTTAAACGCTGCACCAACTGCTTGGCTTTCGGGCATACTAGAAGATTTTGTTAAAACCCAACCGTTTGCGGAGTGTGTGCAGAGAATCACCTGCGTTCTAAGTGTTCTTCTGATTTTGTTCGCTGTACTAATTACAACAAACACAATCAATGTTTCAGTACTAAATATAATGAGGAACATGATGCTGTTTCTAAGGAATGTCCTGTGTATTTGAAAGGAATTAGATTAATTAATCTTTCTAAGGAATGGCCTGTGTATTTGGAAGAAATTAGATTTATCATCTTGATATATAAAGTATATTTTATTTATTTTGGTTGGCTGGGACATTTTAAATCATTGTCCTTATTTGTGATTTACATTTCTGCACTCTAGTGAATTTTTGAATGAAAAGAATTTTCCCTTACCTTTCATTTTTCTCTTTTATGACAATGGATATTCTAGATTTTGTTTATAATTGATCTAGAGACTGTGATTTTATGATTTTAATTATAAAAATTTTTTAGCTGATTGTACCAATTTTAGTATAAAATATTTGCAACAAAGTAGTGAATTCATATTATATTTTATTATGTATTTATATTCTTTTTATCTATGAAAATTTGTAACTGTAATTTAAATCACTGTGCTGCCGCTGCTTGTAGGCTCTCTGCAATTGATACCATTATCAAAGAAACACTAGATGTTATTACTTTACAAGAGCCTTATTATATTCAAAATAAAATTGTGCATGCTCTGCGGACTTATAGAGTTGTGCATGCAAAAATAGGTAGAACCGCTATCATTATTACTAAGAAACAGCTTGAATTTGTAGTGGATGTAGTAAGAGATTGTATTGTGGCTGTCTCCACATCTGATGGTCAAAATAACTTTGGTATTATTTTAAAGACACCCTGAGGCTGGATTATTGTTCTAATTATCCTGATTATCGAAATATTTTTATGGAAGACAACAAGGAGATAGAGCGAGCATTTACTTATTAAGAGATATTTGATGTTATTTCTAGCCTCAGAGATGGCACTGCTCCTGGACTCGATGGAATTGGGACTTCTTTAATTAGAATTATTTTGGCGGAATTCACCTCTTTTTATATATTACCTTAAACAAATATATGGTTTTAACGACTTTTCCTGATATTTGGAAAATTGAAAAATTGATTCTTTCTAAATACAGGGGACATAGACTCATCTGCTTATTAAAGACCCATGCTAAAATACTAATTTTAACAAAAAATAATATTTTCAGTTCAAATCAATATGGCTATCGAAAGAATATGTCTACTGATTTAGCATTATACGAGGGCTATCCAGAAAGTAGATTACGTTTTGGAATAAAAAAATAAACAAAGTATAGGAAACAAATTTTATTATATACAGATGAAAGCCACACTCAAATACTACTTTTCTACATAGTCACCATACAAATTAAGGCATTTATCGTAGCGATGTACGAGCTTGGAAATTCCTTCGTCGAAAAATTCGGCCGCCTGCGCCTTCAACCACTTCGTTACCTCTTCTTGCAGCTGTGCGTCGTCATCAAAACGCATTGATTGCAATTTCGTTTCACAGTTCACATGTTTCACCCATGTTTCGTCACCAGTAACGATGCGATCGAGTAAAGAGTCACCATCCTTATGGTAAGCGTCCAAAAAGTTCAACGCTGCAGCCATTCGCTGATTTTTGTGGTCCTCTGTCAAGATTTTTGGAATCCATCTTGCACAAAACTTGTGGTAACCAAGCTTTTCGCTGATGATTTCGTGCAACAAACTTCGCGAAATTTGTGGAAAACTCAAAGAAAGTTCCGTTATTGTGAAATTTCGATTTTCACGGACTTTAGCATCGACTTTTTCGAGAAGTTCGGCGGTCACTATGCTGGGTCTCCCACTTCGATCTTCGTCGTGAACATTGGTTCGGCCATTTTGAAATCTTATGACCCACTGACGCACTCCACCTTCAGTGATAATGTTGTCCCCATACACTTCACGAAGCTGCCGATAGATTTCTATCGGTTTACAGTTTTTTTGCAGTCAGAAACCTTATTACTTACTGAGCGCACCTCGCAGCTCGCGGGATTTTCAATTAACGCAGACATTTCAAACCGTCACAGTATCTGAACGGAGCACAGCACGAACCTCTCACTAGCACGGCTAGATGCAGACTGAGCTGCGCAACGCTCTGACCCCAAGATGGCCGCGCTAGCCCCGCCCCTAGCGGACACAGACGGAAACGTAATCTACTTCCTGGATGGCCCTCGTAATGTGATCCAACAGTCAGGAAAGCGAAAGGTAACATGTAGTCGTGGTTTCTCTGAGAGGGGCTGATATTGTTCCTACGTTGCATCTCAAGATCTCTTATATAAAATTTATCTGGGTAAGAATATTTTCTGGCAACTAATACAATTTATTAAAATAAAAGGCGTCCCAGGTCATGT